TATAGATGCATTGGCGTTTGGCTGACATGTTTGACATTTTGCATTGATCGGTTTTATTAACACCCTTTATAAAGACTCCTTAGTTAATAGTTGCATTCTATTTTATTTTGTATGGTCTATATGTTTAATTAATTTTGTTTGATCTATATGTTTAATTAATTTTGTATGATCTATATGTTTAAATAATTTTGTTAGATGTATTTGATTAAACTTTCCATCTGTTTCTTAAAGAGCTAGTTTCTTTACCAACTATAAAAATGAGAATTCTTCTTTCTTTTTAACTCACAGAGTATGTAGTCTGTCGAGTATCTTGTTAAATTATCTTTCATCTCTCATAGGAAATAACATTGTCTAATGTATAACATTGTAGCTATTTTACATCCGAACCGTGTATGACGTCTGGATGTCGTCTACGATTCTAAATCTGCAGGTCATGATCACTTACGTATGATTGCTTCTTGACTTTCGTTTTTCCCCTTACTTTGAACTTAGCGTAGGCCATTCCGATTGGTTGATCTGAATAAAAACAAAACAAACCCTGCAACTATCTCCTCCTTTTCTTTCTTACACTTTTTCTTATTCTCCCTTTTCTCGTGAAAAGTGTGTATCTTGTATCTTTCTTTCTGACTCTTTTTCTTTTCTTCCTTTTCTCGTGAAATGAGGGTGTATCTTGTTTTTAATCTCAATAAATTGTCTACTCACCAGTTATTTACTAACGCCTGATGAGATGTGTTAATTCACATCGAAACATGATTGCATTTGTGTAACGTTTTTTTTACGTTTTGATGCAATATCCTAAAATAAAGAATATTGGTCTACTTTTGTATTGAGTCCTCTTTTAAACTGAATGTTACGAACGTCGGAAATGGACTCTATTCGTTCTCATTTTACACACACACACACACACACACACACACACACACACACACACACACATACATACATACATACATATATATATATATATAAAGACAAAAGAAAAACTTAGAGAGAGAGTATAGTATAGTATGATTTCTTAAATATTCAGACCGGTAGGTGAAAATAAATATACTATATAAATTTGCGCAGTTCTGTAGGAATCGAACCTAGGTCTCTCAGTGAAGAGGGAGCCCATTGCACCTTACCACTTGGCTATGAAGAAGCAGATGGTCAGGTGAAGTCAGTTTCATGCTTTTCAAGCAAAATTTCTCCTGTCATAGATTTCTCAAAATTTTTTCATATTTGCACATTGTTTATACTAGAACAAAAAACTAAGAGAATTTTTAGAGTGGATTTTTATTAAAAAGTCTGTTTGTTTACCTTACAAATGTGCATATATGATTCCTGCCGAAGGGCGCAAATAGTACATTTATTTATTTTCAGCTACCAGACGAATGGCACAAATTTTACTTTAATAAGATTTCTCGAATATTCCGAACGGTAGGTGGAAATAAATAAATATATTGTTTAATAAATAAAGAGCCTACTCAAATACGAGCACCTATTCAAAAATAATTTTTAAAGTTGATATATATATATATATATATATATATATATATATATGATAAACATTTTACGGTATGCTATATTTATGGATAAAAGTGCTCAATATCAGGAATAGAGCGTATGTAAATATACATTCACATACACACACACACACACATACATATATACAAGGTGCGATGGGTAAATTGTCGCCATTTTATATTTTTAATTTTACGCATACGCGTTGATTGTTTTTGATTTTGTTGACTGCACAATAGGGTCAGTTGGACACCATCTGTAAGAAAAAGACCAACATGACGCAATTCTATCCGCCAGAAATTTAGAAACATCATGCTTTACTGCTTGGCATTCATGTCAGAAGTTCCAATACAACCATTTCAGAGTGTTTGGGTTTGAATCTGAGGACAGTGCAGAGGGTTTAAGAAAAAGTTTGATGATGTACAGGTAGTGCTGCCCTGGGTCAAGAGGGTGACTACAGAAAGACCCTATGGCTGACAACAGGACTGTGCACCATGCCACACAAGCAGGAGAAACCAGTCATAGTTGTCAGACAATTTCTGTAACTGCATCACCCCTTACATCTGGCCACCTAACTCCCCAAACTGCAACCCCTTGATGATTATGTGTAGGGTGCAGTTGAGTAAGAGACTAACAAAATTCCTTTTAACACCAAAGATGAACTGAAGGCAAGAATTATGGCAGCATTCACTAACTTAAACAAGGAGATGGTCCAGAAGAGTGGCAGTAGATTCTGAGGTAATCTGGATGTCGTGGTTGAAGCCAATGGTGAATTTATTGAATAAATTTACTCTTTAATATTTCAAGATATTTTTGTGTCATTTTGGTAAATATATATCTTAAAATGAGATGTCAGTGTTATTTTAATTTTTACATAATTTAGATGACAATTTATCCATCGCATTCTGTATGTCATTTCATATATCAAACATTTTGTTGTAACCTAGGAAAGGTTACTAAATAGAATAATCACAAGATGGTTGGTAATAAACGATAATACTTAGGATAAAAACAACACATATAAGAAGTGAGTCAAGCGAATTCCACAATGAATCTCCAACTGCAGACCAACATACAGTATTTACTATTGCATTTATGTGAATGAGGACATACCCATTATCATCCATAGGTATGTTACAACACATCTGTAAGATGCTGTAATAAAATTCCAGCATTTTTATACAAAACTATACATCGTAAGTGACATCTTAAATAGTTTTCAATTTACATGTAATATATATATATATATATATATATATATATATATATAAAGTTAAAAGACAGTAGGAAAACTGTATTATTAGCCAATACATTTCATCTAATGTGGACTTTTTCAAGGCAAAAACAAAAAAATTTATTGAAAACAAAGTAACTATTAACAACTTCATTAAATTTAAATTCATTTTGTTTTTGCCTTGAAAAAAGTCCACATTAATCAAAAATTGCTGGCTATATATATATATATATATATATATATATATATATATATATATATATATATATATATGTAACCCGGATATAAGAGAGTTGTCAGGACCGAGAAGAAGTCTCTTATATCCGGGTTTCTCTTATATCCAGGTTTGGTCTATTTATATACATTAACACAGGCTCTAATTTGGGACCAGAGAAAATCTCTCTTATATCGGGTTTCTCTTATATCCAGGTCTCTTATATCCAGGTTACACTGATATATATATATATATATATATATATATATATATATATATATACATATATATACATACATGTAAACTATTTAAGATGTCACTCTGATGTATAGTTTTGTACAAAAATGCTAGAATTTTATGACAGCATCTTACAGTTAATAATACAGTTTTCCTATTGTCTTTTACCTTTACACATATTGTCTTTTTCTACAGGTTAACTCTGAGAAATTTTTCATATATAGATAGATAGATAGATAGATAGATAGATAGATAGATAGATAGATAGAGTATTTGCTACATTTTCAAGTTTTCAAATGTTGAGTATTGACCAATATATTAATTATAGCTTTAGCCATGATCCATTGTTTCATTTACATTTAAGAAACATATTATCCATCATTACTTTTGAATCTTTTTCAAAATAAATATTACCTTATGAATAAACATGCTTTTCTATAAATATTTTCATAGTAACTGTTGTGATGAGCTTTCCTTTTTGGTACCAAGATATTATGAATTTAAGCATGCTACTAGATTGACAGCAAGATCTCATCAATTTACAGTGGAAATTGGTACATGTAGATGTAACCATAAGTTCTATGCTAACAGTTTCTTCTCTAGCACTTCTTAATTCCTGTTCTTTTACTGTTCTCTCTCCTTAATAGTGTTTTCTTTTTCTCATATTCTCATACAATCGGTAACTCCCTTATGTCTTAGTGGCTTTATTGCCTTCATTGGAGTGAAATGATTAAAAAAGAATGTAAAAATACTGATCATTAATTTTTCAGCTGTCAATGTGTAAACTTTATGTGAAAAAAGTTGAAGCAGACTGCCCCCTCCCCAGTGTTCAAGAATAAAATATGTATTTTGTTATTATCATTATGTGAACATTGTTTGAAAATAATTATTCCAAAAATATTATTGGGAAACAATTATTTGAAAAATATTTAATCAAATTATAAGTTGTTTGAATGAAAAACAGTTGAAAGGACAATTATACTAAATGATAATTTTACAAAATGCAAAATTCTTTACTGCATTAAAAATGTAAAAATTAAAAGAGGGAATACACAAATGATAATTATTCGAAATACAAATATTATTAATAAAAAATCTAGAAAGAAAAAATCCTTATAATCTTAAGTTATATGATACTACACATAAATAGTCAATTACTGAAGAGTACTCATTAAAGGATGCCACTAATTTTTTTAAGTTTTCCATTTATGATGCCATATTTCTTGGCACTCTTGATATTTTGGCAACCTGCTCTTACTTTTGCAATAAGAATTTCTTGCAAGTCCTGTTCTCTTTTAAGAATGTCTAAGAACTTCTATAGTGTGATGGGATGACACTTGCTGCAAAAAAGCCTCATGCCATTCTTCAAGGGTATTATTAGTTCTAGATAAATCAACATTGACTCTCCTCAAACTAAGACCACATTTCAAATGTAGGTGTTTTAAATAATTATCATTTAGTATAAATGTCCTTTTGATTCATTTTCATTCAAACAATTTACAAATTAAAAAAATGTTTTTTGAATAATTATTTTTGAACAAGTATTTTTGAGCCAATTTTCTCGATATGCCATATTATGATGAGTTCAACAAATAAGTTTCCATTTGTCTTTACTTTGCATTTACTAATGAAATTTATATCCTCAGAGTTTATATCTTTTTCACAAACTTTGAAAAACTGGAATTCTTCCAAAAAAAAAAAAAAATCAATGAGAAAAGTTGAACACTGGTTCATCCTGCTCTCATCATCCAGATAGAAAAAAATGTATAAAGTCAAAATCAAAACTCACAATTGTGTGTTTTTGGATAGGCATTAATTTTCTTCAGTTTCATCTTCCTGTTAATGAGTAAAAGAAAGGATGTCAATCATAAGAATATTGAAAAAAAAAGAGGGAGGAGAATACAAGATAAAGGCTTGAAAAGAAGGGAGGAGGAAAATTGCAGAATGTGGTAATAAAAAAGAAAGTAAAAGGAGAGTAAAGGAGTGGGATGAGGATAGCAGTAAGAAAACATTAGAAATAAGAGAAAATAAAAAAGGAAACATATTTAGAAGAAAAATAATGATACAGAATTATCAGTAAAGAAAAGAGGAGAATTAGAAGAGAATGAGGAAGGAAATATGGAATACAAGAATGAAATGTGGAAGATAATATGGAAGAGATTAAGAGAATAAGAATGGAAATATGGAATAGAAGAAGAGAATAAGAATGGAAATATGGAATAGAAGAAGAGAATAAGAATGGAAATATGGAATAGAAGAGAATCAAGTTAAAACATCAAACAGAAGTGAATGATTATCAAAAAATGTAAAAAGTGTATTTAAAGAAAAGCATTTAAAAAAGTAGGATTAATGAATTCTGGAAAACAAGTAAAGCAAGAAAGAAGAATTAGAAGAAAAATGAGGAATAGTTAAAATGAAAAGAAAGAATAGAAAAAGAATAAAATGATAAAAATGACAAAATCAAAATTAATCTATATAAAACATAAATGACAAAGGAAATTGACTTCAAAGTGGAATTAAATATAAACATTTTTTATTTGATTTGGATTATGACTGTGATGATGATTCTTCTGTTTAACTTTCACCATTCTATCTTAGAGTAACTAAAACTATACATATTACCCTAAACCAATCTATTAAAGATATTACACTTAAATTTCATATATATATATATATATATATATATATATATATATATATATAATATCAATTGATAATTAGTAGGGTTAATTTCAAGGAGCACATTAATCCAAGGAGAGCTCAATGTAAGAGCAATATAATAATGAATACAGACATTCCTTAAAAATCCATTCGGTTATAATTTATTTCATGAATAGACAAATATTCATCTCTTCAGATGAAAGGAAAAAAGGATAGGAAAAAATAAAAGAGAAAAGGAAAAAATTTTAATATTAAAAGAGGAAAAAAGAAAAAGAAAAATTTCAATATAAGGTTTAAAAAATTTGTGGGGGGAAGAGAGAAAGAGAGAGAGAGGGAAGAGAGTCGGTGGGGAGAGAGAAGGAGAGAGTTAGAGAGGGAGGGAAAGAAAGAAAAGAAAGAAAGAAGAATTAAACATGAGCAGATAGGGTGACCTAGAAATGATTTTTTTCTTTAAGGACTGAACAAGTTAAAATACAGGGTAAGGAAGTGAGTGATCAGACTTAAAATAGATACACTGAATTGTATAAAATGTTTAAGTTGCAAATTTTTACATTTCCATGAAGATTAATTGCCAAACATCTCCACTGAAAAAAAAGTTTTAGAAATATTCCAACACAAAACAAATGGAATTGTCTTAAAAATTTGTTTTAAAAACAGTATTTTAGTTTTTATGAAAATTTTTCACGTGTTGAAATATTTAAACATTTTTATTTTTTAAGCAATCATTTTCTCAATTTTATCTTCCTAGAAATGTAAAAAATAGGGACTAGAAATTGTATTTTAATTACTAGCCATGGACTTCTGGTTAGTATTACTATTAGTAAAAAAAAAATCAAAGATCCTCCTTAATGGATGATCACAGAATAAAAAATGTTTTTACCAAGTTATATTACCCCCTTAATTGATTTAAAAAATCTGTTCAGAAAAAAAATTACAATTTTAAAAAATAAGAGCTATTGAAATTAGCATTTCTGACCATCCTCCCCAGTAAGCATGGGGCCCCTACACAGTTAAGATGTTCAGGGTAGCAAGCATCAGATCTGTTGATTATTATAATTAATGATTGACAATATAACTTAGGTAGTAAAAAGTACAAAAAGCAAAAAAACACTGCTGAAACTACCCCTTTTGGGGCTCAAACCTCATCAGGAGTTCCTGCATAGTACACACTGCACTGGCCATGCAGATACACAATGTATATTATTAGTTGATGACTGACAATGTAACATCAGTTAAAAAATAATTACAAAAATTGGCAAATAGCCATAAAACAGTGTTGAAAAAAAGGGCAGAGGCCACAGGGTGGGGGGCAAAAACGCACCCCCTCTCCTCTGATCAGGAGTTTTGGGGGTAACATATGCTAGCCCTGTATATATATATATATATATATATATATATATATATATATATATATATATATATATATATATATATATATATATATATATATATATATAAACAGCAAATTAAAGAAATGGACAAGGTCCGACAATTTATTTATTAAAGACATATTTTATGTTTAACGTTGTTATTTTATAGATTTGCTTAAATACTTGTATCTATAAAATAACAACGTTAAACATAAAATATGTCTTTAATAAATAAACAGCAAATTGTTGATATGGTCTGAAGAAGTGATTATAGAAAAGGCTGAACTATCAACATACTCACTCATTCCATCTATTTTCCAAGTTTCATCAAAGCAACTTACCTATTCTTTCCATTTGAATCAAGACTGTCTATAAAACTAAATACACTGAAATTGCAATACAATTTTCCTGCAACATTTTATATGCACACATAGAGTGCCTTTTTTTAGTAGAAATACTATTGTTTGTGACATTCAGGTGGTTTGATTCTTTTGTTTTGAAAACTGGTTAAGATTGGGTAAACAGAAAGGATGCTTTCAAATGGTTTCTTAATATTTTACATGCAAGATATGATTTTGATTGTTAATAATCATGCTTATGCAAGTATAAATAAACTCATATATTTATATGCCTTAAAATGTAATATATTGAGATATACCTATATATTTAAATGTTTCACTATTTTCATGGCTGAAGAACAAGATCAAGCTACAAACAAAAGCAAGAACAAATCTTTTCTCTAACAACTCACATTTTTTTCAGTTATGGTGTCATCAATTTTCTCATTTTCTTCGGTATTTATAATAATTTTTTCTTTTTCTTCGGTATTTATAACTTCTTTTTTCTGTTTGTCTTTCTTGATGCTTTCCCAGAATTCCTCTTCTGCTTTTTCCACCAAATCCTCTTCCCCTTCTGAGTCATCATGTTCCTCCTCATGCTAAAAGAAAGCAAAGAAAAATATTTTATAAATGGCTTTTTCAAATATTTTCAAAGATGATTTATAAATGCAATTTGCAAAGAAATCTTGACTGACATCTACAGCTCTTTTTTACATTATTTTTGAAGGTGTTTGCTTTAAACAGCTACTAGATTTTACCATTTACAAACACTATCAGATAAAATATGGCCAACAATATTTGTTACCTTTCACATATATGTTCCTAAAACATTGACGTGATGGCATGAGCCTCCACTATCATACTAGCAAATGAATATTCCTTCCTAACTGGTTCATGTTTTTTTAATACTATACCATTCAGGATATAGGCGATCATGGCTCTCCACAGCTTCCTGTGCATTACCATGACTTCTTGGGAAAGACAATGCAATTTTTTTCCTGTAGCCTTTTCCAAGGTTTTAATCTCACAGTAGTCCATCTCCTAGAGTGGCTACTATCCAAAGCAAGAAAGTCCAGGCTACTATGATATTTTACCAATGCCAAGAAGAGATGGTTTATGCCTTTCCTAAAAGCATTAGTACAAAGTGAACACAACAGACTGGGCCAGAATTTGAACTCTGCTTGCCAATTCCAATTTCTATGTCAATAGCCATTATGCTACTGTTGTGTTGTGTCTCATCTCTGGATTGTGGCAGTCTGTTGTCAATTCCTAAGTAGGAACTCCAATGCTGATTGAATCAATGACAAACAATTTTCTTCAGGTTTCTTTTTTCTCAATTTATTTTAGGAAGGATGTTTTACGCGTCATTTTTTGGAAGAAGTGAGAGAGAGGGGAAAAGCAGATTTCAGCAAGTCAATCAGCAACTATCCTTCCCACATGCAAGACATGTCTACTTGATTAAATCATGGATACACAAAAGAATCTAGGAGAGGAAGGACCAAACAAGCATCAAAGCTCTTGACTTCTCTACTGTTGCAACCATTTTGTTCCTTTTCGCACATTTTTAGTCTTATATCAAAATTTAGATAATCCATCACTGTCCCAATATCACGTCCATAGGAATTAAGCCACCCCACTCAGTTTAGATCACTTTAGGTTAAAGTTCAAATCAGTATGGCATGGTCTGGAATTACATTCACTACAATAATCATTTTTCCTTTTTTGTCTAGCCTACACATTCTACATGACATGCACATTTTTCTTCCTGTTTCCAATTATGAAAAACTCCTACCTTCAAAAATCAATTCTTTTTAATAAAATGAGACTAGCATCCATTTAGATTTAGATGAACAATAGATTTTCCATTGCACGTGATTGAGTTAAACTAATTTCCTCATCTTTATTATTTTTTTCAAATTTTGGCTGCATATCCACCAGCTACAGGTGTCTGTTTTTTTGTTTTTTTTATATATAATATGGTTCACCATGTATGAAGCCTAAGGACCACTCAAGGTAGAGGGTTACAGAGTAAAAGGCAGAACTTATGCATTTATGTGAGGAAGTTAATGATTAACCCTACAGTTAAACAGGTTAAGATTGTAAGGATCAGGGAAGCAAATTCCTGAAAGTTGGTTCCACAGGGCAGTGGTTCATGGGAAGAAGCTGCCTGAGTGGAACTTATATTTCACCAAAGAAATATGTACGGGTTGAAGGTGATTTGCTATAATGTGCTCATCTGAACACACTCCATGAAAGTAGCAATAGAGCAGTGAGAGGATTGCAATGTTTCATCTGTGAGAAATGGGTTGGAGGGTGGAAAATAATTTATCACCAACAAAGACACGGAAACGCTTTTGAACTCTATCAAGAGTGGAAAGCAAAGACTGGGGAGCTCCTGCCCATATATGACAGCAGTACTCCATTTTAGGCCTAATCTGACTTTTGAAAAGGTAAAGGATATCAGGAGAAGTGAGGTACTTCCTGGAGCGGCACTGAGAACCAAACATTCTTCCAGAATCTTTAGAAACAAATCACATGCACAAGTTCCAGTTTGCAGTGAATTTAAGTCCCACTAGGCACTCAAGGCATGGGGTCTTCCTCGGGGAACTTCTGTTCATGACAATTGGTGAAAGTTCTGGATCTGATCAATGATGGTGGAAGGTGACTAGTTTGGTATTTGAGGCATTGAATATAACCAGCTAGTTCTTCCACCCCACCCCTACAACTGAGCTGTTAAAGCTAGGTCAGAAGAGAAATCAGCCCTGAAATGTTGTTCAATTTTGTTCATCTAGTATTTGTTTCTGTTTGTTCTTAGTATTTTCTATACCTATACCTTAACTCAGGGCTTCCCATTGAACCTGGCATGTATTCCCATTTCTTGGGCCAACCTGTACAATCCTATGATCACTTGTTCTTTACTGATTGAATTTCCTACACTTTATTAATGTCTGTTCTTGGTCTACTGATTAAGTTATCTCAGCACAAAATATATATATAGCTCTTTTCACCCTTCTTATTTTCTAGTACTATTCTCTGTCTAATATTTTGCTTTCCTATCCTTCTCTCTCCTTGCATGGTATGCTATATCTGATTTTAAAGTGTCCTCATTCAGTGTCCCCTTTTCAGTGTTCCTCAAGTTATTTTTAGTGAGTGGCTTGTCTCACTCTTGTACTATATGCTACAACTGCATGAAATGTTGTAAATGTAGTTCTTGGTCATGTTTTCTTCCAGTAGGGTTTTACTTTGTTGTCGTGTCACCATTGTGGACATTATTAATTAGAAAAGAACAAACAATGAAATTGAAATTCCATCAGCATGACCTGAGAAATAGGAGTACTTGCTAAGTTCAACAAAAATCATATGTTCAGCACAGGGAACAGGATAATCCCAAGAGCATACAGACACAAGCACTATATATGATGTCTTGAGTGTTTCTAATTAATTTTCACTGAATACAAGGCTTAAGAGCTACTCAAAGTAGAGTGTTACTGAATGAGATTGTTGTAAGGGCATAGAGGAATGAGGTAAGGTGTGAATACTATGAGGAAATGTAGGGTTGATAACAGTTGATCCTAGACTTGAAGAGGTTAAGATTGTAGTACTCAGGGAAGCATCCCTTTAGCAATCTGTTGCACAAAGTGACAGTTCTAGGGAAGAAGTTATCTGAGTGGAACATCCTCCTTACTAAAGGAATACAAAGAGAATGAGTATGTAGCATGGTGGATCCTAGATGTGAAGGTCTGAACTGGTGGAACTAAGTTCATCTGAACATTTGCCATGAAAATAGTGATAGACTAGCAATGCTTTCTCTTTGATAAAGGGATTACAAGGTGGAAAATAATTCATCACCCACAAGGTTGCATAAATGCTTTTGAACTCTGCTAAAGCTGGAGAGTGAGGGCTGGGAAGTACCGGCCCAGATATGGCAGCAATAACCATTTTTGGTCTGGTCTTGCTCTTGTAATGGTAAAGCATGTCAGGAGGAGTCAGATACTTTATGGTTCAGTACAAGGAATGTATATGAAAAAGGATGAGCAGACTCTTCTAGAAAAAGTTTCAACACTATTCCAGAACACGTCACCCACCCAAGGAATGAAATGTTGTGAATAAACAAAGATGAGGTAATTAATCCAAACCAACCACAGACAATGAGTAAAACATGTCATCAAACAAAAATTCAAACCTGAATCCATAAATTTCCCTATCAAAGGTCAAGCAACCTTAACTCAAACAACTGTATTAACTTACATGATCTTTATCCCCTGAACTTTTTGTCTTCTCTCGCAACTTCATTTCTTTGTGTCGAGTTTCCAAAATCTTTTCTCTTTTTGTTTCTCGATCAAAAATCTGAAAATAAGATAAATATTTACTGATGAATGCAGTACCATTAACAGCAATATTTATATAACTAAACATACATTCATATTTTTTCATGCATACACAGTCATTCATATGCATGCACATAGGCCAATTGTAATATTTTTCATCTTAAGACTATAGAATGTTGTCTCTAAGCTTAATATCATTAAATTATGTTCAGCCATTTCAAAATGACAAGATATGGCACAGACAATCTTATATATTTATATAATACTAAACCTTTAACCTTGTATGTATGTATGTGGTCTTGTGAACACACATACATACATACAAGTTTATATATATATATATATATATATATATATATATATATATATATATTATTAGAACCATTTGATGTCTGTTGGGCTTTAAATCAGCCCAGTGAAACCAAAAATAATTTTTTATACAAACTTTTTGGTTTCTGGTCATCAGATCTAATAAGGTAATTTAATTTATTGCTCTTCTTATCTGCAAAAAATGTTTTATTAAACCTTTGAGTACTTATTCTTAAATATTAAAATTCACCCAATACAAGTCTCCAGAGCCACTTAAGGTAGAGTCTTACTGTTAAAATGGTCATGAGATGTGATGTAAATGAAAGAAAAGATGATGGAGAGGAAAGATACCGATTGACACTTAACTTGATGTAGTTAAAATTTTAGTGTTCTGGAAAACATCTACAAAGAGACTGTTCCACAAACTAACAGTTCTGAAAGGAATTTTCTCCTTATATTTGGAACATGAAGGAAATGAAGGTGATTCAACTGTATAGAAAGACCTTGGTACATTCTAGCTGTAAAGGTCTGAATTGACAGAATAGTATAAAAATTTTATTTTTAAAAATGTTAAAATTCTATGTTTAATCATCTAGGTTATTTTTTTAATACACATTTTTTTTGTGAAAAGTGTATTTTTCTGAAGGCCAGACAGTTTGTGTGAAAATTGTTACATTTTTTATGGCACTTTAGGCTCAAGCAGTTGACCACCAAAATTATTTGTTGTGAATTTGTTTTTTGAATTCTTGGAGAAGGATTTTATATATTTTGGCCACTGAGAGCTGAGTTCTTGAAGCCCTTGTGAAAACTTGAAGTGAGCAGATATGATGGTCCCTTTTTCAATAAAAGGGACTGCTATCAGCAGATAGAGAGAGGGAGAAAGAATGAACCGTTCAAAAAAGAGTTATTAGCGATCAAGGAGGAAGGTATTGGCGGACATGCTTCAAGAGAACTGGCCTGCACAAGGAAGTCATAAAAGCACAAGGAGAAGATTTTTGAACAGCAAGAGAACAAGGCAGATCGCCAACATCAAAGAAGCTATTTGTCATCAAGAAGAGAACACCGAAGAAGGCACCAGTTACCAGCCAGTTGCAGAGAGACCAAAATTTCAATTGAAAATGCTTGTGGTTGGACAGCCTAAAATGAGAAGATTTCAGAGAAATTTTCCCCGGCATAAACTGAGTAAAGTTGAAAGGGACCCTTTTTCAAAATAATTGCTGTGAAAGTAGTCCTTCATTTTTTCTCAAAGGTAGTTGAACCTTTGTTTTTACAGCCTTTTTGCATTGTTTTCTCTTTTTGTCATTTACAAAATACTTGTTTTTCCCTTGCCGTAATTTTCCATTTTTCATTGATAAAGCTTGAAATTGTTATCATGCCTTTGAGGCACACAAAAGGAAATTTTTGTGCAAACTTGTATTGTAACTTTTTTCTTAATTATATAAACAGTAAATAAATGTGTTTCTCCTTTAAAAATTCTATGCAGTGGTTGTCTTGATAAAAAATTTTGCCCCTCTTGTGTCTTTCTATTCCTACTAAGTTTTTTTGTTTGGCACAAGAACTTTGATTTAATGGAAATTTAAAATTTTTAGAATAGAGCTACTCTCAACATTTACCATGGAAATAATGATAGAGTAAGTAGAGGCTCACAGTGTTACATCTGTTGAAAAGAGGCTGCACAATGGGAAAAAAAAATCTTTCCTCACAAGACCAGATGAACACTTTTGAACTCTGTCAAGGCTTGGAAGTGAGGATCAAACATCTCCAGAACAGATATGGCAACAATACTCCATTTTCAGTCTAATCTCATGTAAAAATAAAGCATGGTAGAAAGAATCAAGTTCTGCCTGGAGTGATAGAAGAAGCTGATCATTTTATCGCAGTATCTTTAGCAATGGATTGTAAATATTAATTTCACTTGAGTTTTGAAGCAAATTCTTAATGGCTTAAAAGCTTGAATAAAATGCTTGAAAGTTGTTCTAGATTTCAAATGTATCTTTTATACATTCTATGCACAACTAGTTCTGTAGTTTGCCAATTTACCATAAATGCTTTTTCTGCTGTAATATCAGATGAACCATGATCTAAGGGAGATAACTCAATAACCAGAGCTACTCCTATTCAGTTGAATCGTTTTTACTTCATACAAAATACAAAACCCAACGTCAAGCAAAGTATTGTAAATAATGTAATTCTTCCCTTTTGGTGGGAGAATTACCTAAACTATTATTCACTTTTATAAATAAAAATGTAATAGAGTTTACTTTTTGATAACAAATAACATACTAAATTGTTTTTTTAAAAATATAAAATACTTAACATAAAATAAATGTCTGCTTAAAGAAATTAGGTTTCCATTTAATTAAAATCTAAGATTTGAAGATTTTTCAATCAAAGCAAAACACTACATTCGTTGCTATAATGTTTATTTTTATGATTATGCTTAACTCAATGGGAGTAGAAACCTATTTTTAATCCCAGATTTTATTAAGGACATTAATTTATTCATGAAGACACAACATGGAAGCATACCATTTATCAGAACAGACGATGGGGCTTATGGCCATATCACATTGAAACACCAGATCCCATTCAATTACCAGAGTTAAGCAACATCAAGCCCAGTCAGTAACTAGATTGGGAATACCACATGCTGTGAGTTCAGATATGCAGGTGGTAATAACTTAACATTGCTAATCAGAGAGCCAAGTTTCAATTTCAGTAGGGTTTTTTATATTCACTTACACACAAATACCCTTAGGAAGGATATGAAACCATATCTTCTCCCCCAGCTATGGATTAATTAGTAGGATTTGTATCAGTAAGTCATTATTATCGACAACAAAATTCTTACAATCTAAAAATATTTTCTAACTTTAGATCATCTGCAAAAGGTTGATAAACTGTAAAAAACAAATCAATCAATCAATCTAGAAGCAGACTTAACTTACTTCAAATCTTTCAAAAAATAATTTGTTCATAGTCTCCCAAAATCTTACAATCTAAAAGTATTCTCTGGCTTTAAAAAACCTGCAAAGGTTTTGATAAAACATAGAAACAGACAATGGAATCAACCATGTTCAAATTTTGGTTATGCTCACTTAGCACTATTGCTTCTGTGAAAGGTATGAACACACTTATCCATGTGCTCTAACCCATTGCAATATATATTCAAATAAATCTCTACTTATTGGTATACTATGATGGCTAACAAAGAAAAGAATAAATATGCAAGTGTTGTCAGTAACAAAAAACAATAAATATGAAATAAATGACAATGCATGTTATTAACAAAAGGAATCACATCTCGAGACAATTGTAAGAAAAGCAAAAACATTAAAACTAGCTATAAGAAGAATGTGCTTGTTTGTGTGTATGGTAGACATGTGTATGTATATGTGTGTGAGAGAGTTCAAAAGTCAAAGGAGGACCAAAGAAGTGAACGTGCCATGTTGGCAGTGTTCCTATTGACGTGCGACTACATCTGAAAAAATACCTAAAATACATAAAAAGACCAAAATAAGGGTGAGTGAGGATATCATTGCCTATTTATAGACTTAAAGAGCCTCCCATAGCAAACACTTTTGGCAAAGCCAATTGAGATGACTCATACAAGATGAGAGCAAAACCTTCTTTAATAACTATCTTATTGTTCAGGCAGGCCCAGTTACCCCTATAGTCAACCTTGATAGCACTTAATAAGAATCAGAACACCTGTTGATGGTCAAGTCAAACAAAATTCTGGGGTACTTTTGGTGTAATTACATAAGAAGTATATAATTGGGCAAGAATTCTTGAAAGGTAAAATTTCCAAAACAAAGACAAAAACCAGATCTACTCACCTCAGTAATTATGTTTTTCTCATTCTTTTGCATGCAATAGAACCTGCTAGAGAGTTCTAGCAGAGTTATAGTGCCACTGTGGGAGCCACATGCAGCCAACTTCCCATGTTCTTGGACTCGCAGGCTATGTAAGGATTCATCACACACCTACAATAAATAAAACATAGCCAAGACAAATTGATTATATAAATATGGACAAAACACATACACCATATATATTTAATACAAATATAAAATTTGTCACTTAGCTGACTGATGTAGCCTTCAACATCCTGACTCCTGAATTTTGTAGGACAGACTCTCCAGAAATCACTCTGTCCACTCATCAGAGGGTATCAGTAATTGACTGTTTATATTTCTCATTTGCACTTTTCATTGGTAAAAGGTTGATCTCTTTTTTCACTGTGTGTGTGTGTGTGTGTGTGTGTGTGTGCTCATGCATCCATATGTCCATACATGTAGAATGTAATGATTATTTCTCCTTTTTCATCATTTGTTTTTCACTTAACACTCACTCCTTATTGTGTTTTACTTTTTCTCTTTTTTCCTTTTCTTTCAGTTGTAGCAGTTTTGACATCCAATTTTTCAGACATTCACAAAGATGACAAACAAGGTACTGCAATTAAACTTTTTATTTAATTTTTCTTATATTCAAACAAGTGTTTCCTTTAATGGACACAGAGTGTGTAGAAACTATCAAAATGTTCTGTAATTTCAGCAACACTTTTAGCCATTATCAAGGATGATTTTATTTTTACTTTTTAATTGGATGTATGGATTGTGTGTATGTATCTAGAGTTATAGGGATGTTTTATTTTCCAAACACAGTCAGCACATTGTAGCCATGTTTGTAGTTAATATTATTCAGTGTTGGCTATTCCTTTTTTTATTATTAAGGCTTCCATTATTTTTAATCTTTTTTTACATGTGGATGATGTTATTATGCTCGTATTTTCTACAAGTATGTTTCAGATGAAGTCTGGTAAGTTTGTGTTTAATTGGGTTCTGATGGAGCTGTGGTTGAATAGGTGTAACATGTCGTTTGGATAGGCATGTAGTAGTGTCATCAATGTAATTATTTACACAAGCAAAATTGGATAAAAAATTAATCACAGTACCATTGTCTATTGTCTTTAATGAAATATGTATAAAAGAGGGATTGCTGCCAAAATATACAATATATATATATATATTGCTTAAATGTTATTTTCATATATATATATATATATTGCTTTGTTCTTACATTGAGCTCTCTTTGGATTTATATCCTCTTTGGAATTATCTATACAAATTATCAATAATATATATATATATATATATATATATATATATGTTTGTAATTGACTGTATATAAGGGTATTTTTTTATATAATCTCTTTGTTTTTGTATTTAATCCATTTTTAACAAATCTTTTTGTCAGAAGTAAATGGATTGCTCCACTCTTTTAACAGTGGGTTATAAATATTAATATTAAAATTTTACAACAATCAGTTTACAATTTGTACCTGACAATTACCATGCGCATGAAATGTGGTGGTGGTGGTGGTGGCAGTTTGAATATTTATTGTATAACACAAACATAGGCTCAAGACCATATTTCTAGAGTATTCTGTAAAATCCTAACTCATTTTTAATAACTGTATGTTCAGAAGAGCTTTTATTCATAAAACTTTCACTTATATATATAATTATTATAACCTGGTCTGGTAGGTCTCATTTTTACTGTTTAAAAAACAGAGATGCCTATTCAAACACCTGTATCCAATAAATACAATGTTTAAAAAATAATAATAATAATAGATAGATAGATAGATAGATAGATAGATAGATAGATAGATAGATAGATATTAACAGGTTTTGATAAAATTTAATTTAATTTTCAACTTTCTTCTCAATATAATCAAACATTAAAAATAAATAACTTGCCTGAATGGTCAAAGTTGGGTCATTATGTTTGAATATTAAATCCCAGATATCAAGGGTCCCATCCATTTTGGTTGTGAAGTAGACAGCTGGTCGAACATGACTCCAACAACCATCAGTCAGGTAAGAGGAATGCTGCCTGAAAGAAGAGAATTTTAAATAGAATGACATTTCTGTAGCAATAACATGTATTTCTCTGTATACAAAATAGAAATAAAAGTTTATTTTATACTGAAATGTATGCTCTTCAAAATTGAAAAAGAGCTCAGGTTTATGCATTGTTGTTTAATGATTCATGTCTATGAGGGATAACTGATTACAGTTACCATTAAAAATTGTTTCAGCAAGATTTTCAATTTAGGAAATCAACTATGTATCTATATCTTGTGTGTTTGTTTGCTACAGTAATGCAACAAAAACAGCACAGCACAGTTAGATTCTTGATAGGGCAATACCATGAAAATGTACCAATTTGCAAAAAATGCAATTTCCTTGTCTAGTTTGCAACTTAATAATAATAGTGTGGTGTCTGAGTTTGTGCTCACCCTCATAATAGTGATCCACATTTTTGCATGTTCATTTGTGTGTTTATTACAAAAATTAAAAATAAAAACATACTAACATTGAAAGAGAAAAAGAAACAAAAAGATTATTAATTGTTGCATAAAGTAATGATACTTTTGTTTCATTAAAAGTATTTTTATTACATATTTTCATATAGAAATTAATTTTATTTTACAAAATAAATATATCATTATTTCCTGGTTAACATTAATTTATGCAAAAAATATTAATATTTTCATTTCTTTTTTTTATTTTCATCTTCCATTATAAACATTTTGACACTTTCTAAATTATAAGTATGTACATTCAGAAATCCTTTGATACTAGACTCTTGCTAATTAGAGATTTTTTGAAGTACAAATAAAGCTAACATCAAATTTTAAATGTAGTTGGAGTCACCTACAAAATTCTGAAGTGAACTAAAATCTTCTGAACTGAGTAATTTTTAAAACAGTTTTATTCTCTTTGGTCAATGGCTTTTAGCAAAACTTTTGAAAAGTCAGTCAATATTGAGAAAAAAATTAAAGAAAATGACTTATTTATTTATTATAATTTTATAATTACAATATATTTGATTTTATTATTGTTATAGCGTAGGACTACTACTGTGACAATGGACTGCTCCTACTTATAAATATGGCAAGTAGCCATATTAAAGTAGGATTGGAGTATTATTTGATTTAGTCAAGTATTGCCATTCCTATATGAGTATATAATAAACCTCTTCTTCTTTGTTTCATCTAACTAGTCTTCTGTTCTCTTTTTAACTATGACCTTCCTAATTCTTGCTATTTTGAACAAAGACATTACAAAAAATATACAAGTCAATGTTTTCACAATAAAACTGTTATTAACTAACCAAAAACAGTAAAAATTTTCAGGATATATTTTTGGGTAAGACAAGGATGTGTCTTCTCACAGGAATTATTCAAGCTTTACAGTGAGACAATTCTGAGAGAATCAGAAGTCCTACCAGGATTCATTATTGGCAGCCACAATCTTAACAAAATAAGATGATACAGTATTGAGAACAAACACAGAAAGGAAACTACAGGAACTCCTATAGTAGGTAGTAAAATCAGTGAGAAGAGACGTCTAAACATAAATTATCAGAAAATACAGATTGCGATGGGTAAATTGTCGCCATTTTATATTTTTTTTTTATTTTGTATATGTGCATTGTTTGTTTTTGATTTGTTGACTGTACAGTATACTAGGGTCAGTTGTAAACTGTCTATGAGAAAAAGAGTACAATGATGCAATTCACTCAGCTAGAAATTTAGAAACAGTATGCTGTACTGATTAGCATTTATACTGGAAGCTCCAATACAAACATTTCAGTGTTTAATGTCAATCTAATAACAGTGCAGAGGATTCAGAAAGAGTTGGATGAGTCTAATGGTGATTACGAAGGTATGGCAGCTCGGAAAACTCACTCTGAATTTGTTGGTGAAGGCCTCAGACTCGACACATCAAGTGCTTTGAGGAGCTAGTGCTGCCCTTGGTCAAAAGGGCAACTGCTGGAAGACCCTACGTCTGACAACAGGACTCCCTATCATGACACACAAGCATATTTTTGTGTCATTTTAGTAAACATATCTGTTAAAATGTGATGTCAATGTTATTTTAATTTTTGTGTAATTTAGACAACAATTTATCCATCACATGCTGTAGAATATATGATTGCCAGCAAAAGAAGCAGATGAAGATGTGAACTACAGATCTTTTGAATTTCACAGATGCAGCATGGAACAGACTTCAAATTGACTTTGACTGAGTTCACATGGAACATATTTATCAAGTTTCTCTGACACTTTGATGTGTTTTTTTTAATCATTTACCCACAAGCAAAGCAATAAAGCCACTAAGATGCAAGGAGATACTGGATGTGAGAGAATATGAGAAAAAAAGATTATTAAGGAGAGAACAATGAAAAAGAGTAATTAAGATGATAATGATTAACATTGCATTTAAAGTTTTGATGATCAAAGTTGCCTGAAAAGTAAGAAACCAGAAAAGTTCCACAAGTGAGAAATGTAAGAGAAGAAACTGTTTACTTACTTACAGTTACATCTAGCCAATTCAACTGTAAAATGATGAGACCTTACCACCAATTTAGTACTGCACTTAAATTCATAAAGTCTAGGTAACATGAAGGAAAGTTCATCAGAACAATTATTAATTATCTAAATACACAACAGAAGCACCAGACCAACTGTGGCAGCAATATTCAATGCATGGACAAATGGTAGACTTATAAATGTAAGATAGATTCAACTAGTGTTTTTAGATATTGATTGTCAATTGCAGATACATATCCTCAATGCAGAACTCCAGAAACCAGTGCCATATTGTCCACTCACAAGTGAATCATTCACTGCATACTCTGTTAATGTTGGCAGATGTTTGAGAAGTATTATGACCAAGCTTAAACTCATGAAAAAAAGGAAACACATCTCTTCTTTTTTCATGTTCAATATGGGAGGTGTATAATGTTTTAGGTTAAATTCCGAAAAAGATTGATATAAAATTAACAAAGAGGACACCTTAATCATTAGAAATGAGTGATAAATTTTTGTGCAACTACTATAATAACATATTAGAACACAATTAACAGGTTTATTCTAAAAATGAATGCTATTTTCTAAACAACTGAATATTTAGATACAAGAAAATTTTGTTAGAAACAAAGAAACAAATGCTGAAATCTTATGTAATCCTCCCATATAACAATGAATATTGGAAATCTCCTCACAGATAAAGAAGAAACTAGAAGCAACAGAAATGTGCTTTTACAGAAGGATGGTGAGAATACCATTGACTGAACAACAAAGGACGCTTATATTTAGAATCAAAAAGAGACAATTGAAATTTCTCAGACACATAATGAGGAAAGAAAAAATTTGAGACTCACATGACATATTGAATGTAAGAGATTGATTCATTCATTCATTTTCTATGGCTTATCAACCCTTTGCAGGTTATTTAAAGCCAGAAAATATTTTTAGATTGTATTTTTGCGGGAGGTAATAATACTTTAGTGATACAAGTTTTACTAATCAACCCATAACTGGTGGGAGCAGAGGTGGATTCATACTTTTCCCAAGGGTATTTTTTCATAAGTAAATATAACAAAACTAATGGGAATTGAAACTTGCCTCTCTGATTAATAATTCCAAGCCATTATCCATTACACCAACTGCACATCCAAGCTTATAGCACCTGGTATTCTCAAGTGGTCATCCATCTAGGCATCAACCAGGCACAACATTGCTTAACTTTAGTAAGTGTATAGGAATTGGTATTTCAATGTGATGTATGAAGGCAAGAGAGATAGAAGAAAGCAACTAATAACCTACATAACAAGCTTGTGCAAATGGTTGGCAGAACAGGAACTATGTGGGATAGTAAAAAGACAGATCTTATTCAGAGCTACAAAAGACAGGAAGTTGTGGAGAGCAATGATTGCTGATATCCTGAAGGGGCATAGCACATTGAGGAAGAATACCATGTGACTTTCTGCTTATAATAATTGATTTTACTAGAAATATTTATTATTATTTGGTGACATGAGATTTTATTCTTCAGCTCAGGATTTCTTCATCATATTGTAAATAAATCTATATAATAGTATAACTGTTAGCATTGATTTTATTTTTTCATTTTGCATATTTAAAGCTTGTAGGGCCACCCATGGTGGTAAGGTCAATGAGGAGAGACCAGACTGAATGCAACCAACTCCCAAAGACTTCAACAGCAGAATAGGCAAAGATCTACACAATCTCAGAGCAAACTGGCAGAAGAGCGTAGCACCAGGTGGACTGGTGTAACCAAGGTGAACCATAACAGACCAAGCAGGTTTGCCAGATTTCACTTGTCTCTATCCCCTTTGAACCATAAGAAGGCACTTCTAGCTAAGTGTGTGGGCTTCTCTGTCATGCAGAGTTGTCCACCAATATCAGATTTATGCAAAAGGTCTCATCAAACTCTCTTTGACTACTCTTCAATAGTCTGGGCTTTCACAGCCATTTCCACCACCACCAGGAATAAGGAGAGAGGATGATGACAATCCCAATGCTCGGATGCAAGTGGGTGATAACTACTACTGCTACTACTACTATTTAAAACTTGCTATAAATCATAAGAAAGATATAACATCAAAGGAGAAACAAGATATTATAAAGTTAATGAGTGAAGGAAAAACAATGTTAAAAATTGTCACAAACAAATTAATAGTGATCATAAAGAAATCAAAAACAAAAATTAAATCATTGCCAAGATAAGAACAAAAAATAACTTTAAGAAAGGCACAGATATTTTGGGAAAAATTAAAATCAAGAAAAGTGGATTAAACAACCAGAAATTATTTGAAGAAACTCATGTTGCAAATGTAAACAGAAACAAAAGCTGCAGAATATTAAGAATATTGGCAAAAGACAAGTGAACTACGATATTTAAATAAACATCACAAAGAGAAATATGTAAGCTGCATGAAGAATTAAATAAAAACTAATTCTTAATAATGAATATAATGCTGCATTGGACAGATTTGATGGCTGGGACAGAGATTAGATCCTTAATGAAAATAGTCAACCAACACAAAAAGACTACAGGGTGTGTTGGAGTAATGTTTTGCATTAGTATTGTAGGTAATAAAATTATAGATTTCTTCAAAGTTGATGATGGTATCAAGATAAATGCAGAGAATTATTTTGTGTTTTTGGATAAGACATTTTTTGATTGGTACAGGTTACAACCAAGAATCTTTAATCTAAAAACTATATTCATACAAGACAATGCTCCTTCACATTCTGCAAAGTCGACTATTGCCAAAAAATATTTCAATGATACCAGATTAATGAAATGCTGTCATTAAGCTTCTTCAGATATCAATCCAATAGAAAACTTGTAGCCCATTATTAAAAGAGATGAATACAAGAATGGAAAACAATAGTCAAGCAAAGATCTTTGGGAAACAAAACTGCTATAAGTAATGTTAAAGTGAAAATAGTAAAAACAGCAAAATCAATGATTGAAAGAGTAATGAAGATTATAGAATGTCAAAAAGCCTATATTAACATGTAAAATAATAAAATAGTGATTTGTTTTTGTATATGTCATATTCTCTTAATCAAATATATTTATTCATAGCTTGTATCTATTGGATTTATTTGTAAATATAAATTTATGTTGCACTTAGTTTGTTTGCATCATAAAACCTTATACCCCGCAAAAACAAAGTGTTATCATTTTTTTTTATATATGTATAGATGGGAAAATGATATATAAATTTTTATATATTAAAACAATTTTAGGAAAATCTATGACAAAGTGGAAAAAATTAATCACATCAATGTATAGATATTATAAGCTAAAACTCATATGATATATTATACATATTTGTTTATAATATATCCTGAAAATTTTACCAATAACATTTGGTTAATACTAATTTTATTGTGAAAGCATTAATGTGCGTAATAAAATCTGATGTAGTATTGGAAAGGATTTAACATTAACTTAATGACCATCTTAAGCAGCCTTTAAATGAGTCTATAATAAAAGAAAAAGATTTCTTTAAGTCTTGTTTCCTCTCAGATTTTTGGGACTCAAAAAATACATATAATTAAAAATATTGATTAATTTATCTCTTAAACAACAGGTATCATCAATTAATGCTTCACTGGACATCAGCAGAAATCATCAATTGATTTTAACTTTTTCCAATAATACAAGTATCATTTGTTCATGATTCAAGTGTAAATGACTAATTGGCAACTCTAGGATTATTGTGATTATGTTATTTTCTGGCATCCTTGCCTGCAAATAAAGCTGTAAGAACAAGCCAAAGACAGTACCATGTCTCTATACATGTTTCAAAATGAGAAAAGTGTTGAAAAATGGTGAAAACTTGTTGCAAAGAATGTACAACACCATTGTGAAACTGAATGCTTCAAGGAATATCAATCTGTTAAAAATATTAAATTAAGGAAGCTAACATTTGTTTTATTTCTCTTTTTCCTCTATTTTTATAAAAAGAGTTAAAATATCATCTTTATATATTTTTTGTATATAATTAAAGCAAATGTAAGCATAAAAACTACTCTTTTAAAAGAAATGAATAGTCTTGTTTTTCACTCCCTTTGCATGAACATTCATCTTCATGCAACTTTATCAATGGAAAATGGAAACAAAAAGAACACTTATACTTTGCATCAGAAAGAGACAGTTGAAATTTCTAGAACACATAATGAGAAAAGAGAGCTTAGAAAATTTGACACTCACAAGACATATTGAAGGCAAAAGGAATAGAGGTAAAATACATGTAACCTAACTAATGTGCTTATGTAAATGGTTGGCAGAACAAGGATTAGGAGACATAGGGAAGAGAAGTACTAGATTGGTGGAAAGGTCTTGCCATTTTATAGTTGAAATGGTTAGATGAAACCATAAGTTCTACACTAACAGTTTCTTCTCTTGCACTTCTCACTTGTGAAATTCTCTCTTCTGGCTTCTTGCTTTCCTGTCACCTTTGATCTTCAAAAATTAAATGCAATGCCAATCAGTATCTGCTGTCATCTTAATTGTTGTTCTTTTATTGTCTTCTCTCCTTAATAGTATATTTTTCCATATTCTCTAACACTAAGTAACCCCTTGCATCTTAGTGCCTTTATTGTATTGCTTGAGATGAAATGATTAAAAAAAAAATGAAATTAAATCTCTCATGCTTAACACTACATTTTATTCAACTCTGGACTTTCCATCAGTGCATATCTGTGGCCCTCTTCAAACATGGATCCTACATTCTCTGGGGTGGCAATATATTTATCTATTATATTGTTCTTTCCAATCTGTGCACATCATAGGTACAGCTAGGTCAATCACAGGAGGTCATTCTCAGGCCAACCCTAAGCCAGGCGTCTATGAAGAAAACTGTGTGCAAAGACTATTCTGGTATGATCTGGAGTGAGATACTATTAAATGTTAATAAAACTATAGAGATGATCTGAGCCTAACAATCTAGCAAAGAAAAGAAATGAAGACTATAAAAAACCAGTTAACTATGGCAATACTGAATGACAGAAATGCGACAATGATTCAGAGAGAATATAAGCTGTAGAATTTATACTAAAATGATGATTAGGCTTGAGTGATAAAATTATTTGTTTGTTTTTAAAATGCTAGCAAGGTTTATAAAGACTAAATTCAGGTGTGTGATGAAGAATTTGATTAATATTGACAGAAAGATTGCCAGGAAAATTATTCAAAACCCAAAAAATTATGAACATGACTTACTTTGTCTTCATAATACTTGATTCTTTGCTTTCTTCAGACCAAATCTACAGAACAAAAAACACAAACTGATTTAATCCACAAATATCTAAAACACTTTCTACCAATTTTCAATTTCTTGAGTCTCTATTTGTATTTTATTTATATCTTAATTAGGTGATGTTTTAGTGACTTTTATCTACATAAACAGCAATTTGAATACAAATACTGCAATGAAGTATTGCAAATGTACAATTTCTCATATAAAAACAATATAAAAATATAAAAGCAATAGAATTATAAAAACAGTAGTAAAATAGTGGAAATTGGACATTGAAAAATTCATACAAATGTAAATAGTTTTTAAAGACATTTGGCTGTTAAAAAAGATTTCTATAAGTCATTTGAAATTAGGGAAAAATAAATCTTCTACAGTATTGAAAAGACAATGTTAATTTTTCAAAGATCACTGAGCCCCAGAAATCACTTTTGAACAGCAAGCAAAATTTAGTATCAAAATTATTAAATATATTTTCTGATCAATCAACATTTCACTTCAAAATTATCAAATGTATCTTCCAATCAAAACTTGTGAAAAATCTATGAAATCTTTTGATTAAATTGGTAAAGAAACTGAATTACCTGGGCTTGCCAATCAGCCACACTTAGAAAGTTCTTTGGGAAGAATGGATTCCTTTGAAGAGCATTCACAGGTCCTGCATGGCCTGAATAGACTGTGACGATTTTGTCAGCATCAGACTTAGCTTTTCGGTTGCAGGAAATAATAGTTCCATGTTCTGTACCAACCATAAATTTTGTTGGCTTAAAACAAAAAAAAATAAAAAAATCAGAGAGTATTTATTATTTATATATCAAGAAAAGAATTAAATATTTTTAAGAATATTTAGTAATTGTTTTTTTGCAAAATATTTTAAGGATTTTCAGCATCAAATAAAATAAATATCTGAATAAAATCACCAAATTTACAAATTTTCCCCATAGAAAAAAATACCTTTTCATGATGCTGATAATAATTCATAGTATTTTCGTTGCATACAGGAATTCATGACAAATAATTTAATTTAGAAATACAAGGTCTGTTTGGAAATTATTGAGACATTTACTATTAATGAAAATATAACCTCCCTAGAGTAAGAGAGTCTTTATCCTCGAAATACTCCATACACTTATCTCAGCATCCCTTCTATTTTCAAAACAGTAATTTGAGATTGGCATCAAATTCCTGATCATTTTCTTTTCAATCCTGTCACCAATTTCTCTACAATTTCTGACATATTTTGGGAGAAAAGGCAGAAGTTGCAGAGAGCCAAATTTGGACTGTTGCTAACATTGGTAATGGTAATATTAACCATTGTTTTATAAAGAAGCATTTAGCATTCATTGACCAAGCAGCCAGTCCTATGCCTGCTTGAAATATATAAAATTTTCACATTAAACAATTTTTCAGGAAAATAGGTTTCTCAAGTCCAGTAACTATTATTGCTCTTTCCACTACTGATAGGGGTTTCCTTCTTAACTATTTCTTTAGAGTAATATGGAACAACAACATTTTGATTATGTCATTATTTTCTCTTTAAGTTACATGTGATATCCATTTTAGTTCTTGCTACTATTGAAAGTACACAAATAATGTGGATTCTGTTATTTGGTACAATTCTTGTGATTCTGTAATGTCAGTTCACAAGGTTCAAAGAAGGTTAGTCCTCTCTAAGACCTACAGGCTTCATTCCCTTGAACATATTTTATCCATTGATCTGAGAAAGTAGTTGAATACAGCTGACAGTTTAGATATTTCTGAACAAGTTTGGCTCCATGCATGACATCCATATGAAAGTCTCAATCTGATGAGGCTACTTAAGAACATGACACAAGCTTTTAGGTTATTTTTTTTTGTTTTGCAGCAATTTTTGGTGTTAAGCAAAACTACACTTAGCACAGCATGTTCGATGTTTAATTTCTTTATTTCTTATACTGAATTTGTTATAAGTGATCTATACATTGAAGTATTTGAAGTGTTTAGTATTTATTAATTCCCCATCCTGAATTCTTATGATGGAATCTGGATGATAAAATCTCTGCACATGATATAAAGGATCTGCTCCCTCAGTTATTGTGAATGTGATAGACATACAATACAAAGGTTTAGTCAATGTCATATCACAACCAACCTAATAACCCCATGAGTGAGTGTCTGTCCCTGCAGTAAGATGCCCTCTAACTGCCTGCCAAGTAACATCAAGGCCGCACAACCAGTACTCAAAATATTCAAAATGGATGGATATGTTCCAGACAAACCTCATACATTGTAATTCATTTATTTTGAAAATGAATCACAAAATGATTTAATATAAAAATGCACCAAAATCATAAAAATATGAAAAAAATGGACAATCAATAAGGTATGCTTTGCTATACAATAACATTTTTTTCAAGAAAATTAACATTAGGATATTTCATCATCCAACATATTGGATTAAGCATAAACATTAGACATTTTTTAGGGGGAAAAGTATGTGGTTCTTAAACTAGAAAATATGGTACATTTGGAATAAATTACTTCAGAAATAAAACAAAAAACATATCTATTGTACAATTTTTATTTTAGAGAAATATTGCATTATTTACCCTCAGACTATTGTCCATACCTTTCAAAACATTTTCACTATTGTGTTCTCTGGCCTTCTTCACGCACTTGTTCATCCAGGTAACTTTTAGAGAATTTTGAAGTGAACCCTTTATTTAATCTCCAGGAGTAGATTTGTGTTTTACTGACTATATCTAGGGATATCTCATCTAGTTCCTATTATCAGTTATTGAACACCTTGTTTCTACTAAGTCTGCACTGCCCGATCCAGGAATTGAACTCACAATTACTATGTCATCAAACTTACAAACCAATGCTTCATTACATGGGTCAATCTTGGAGCCTAAAACCTAATGTTCCATCCTGTTTGCTGCTGCCACTGCTGCAGTCCTGCTTGACTGCATTCCCCTTGGCTTCCCTTTTCTTATTAATGCTGCTACTGCTCCTGTTGAAGCCTTGCTGTCATTTCTATTTATTTATTAACTAGTGAACCCATGCTGTTAAAAATGACAACAATTATTAGAAAGTTTTAATTGTGAAATGCAATAAAAGAAAAGTCTTAAAACAATCTACTGAGATTCAATAACTAAAATAGAAGCCAATGAACCATTTAATTAATCCATTCCCTTTATATTTTTCAACATTCAATGGTATGTATGATTCATTAATTACACTTGGTATTATATAAATTGCTTTTTGGTTCATATATTTTCATGTTAAAAAATTTGGATGAAATGGAAATATCTCTTGGGAATGAAAATATCTCTGAGCAACAGAATGACAAAGACAGCAACAATAAGCCCTATTTCAAGATGAAGTTGAAGCAAGATGATCACTTGATAGAAAAAGGTATTGGAATGCCTCATGTGAAATGCTTGAACAAATAAGACTGCAATCTAAGAAATGTAGGAGTAAAGGAACTAATTAATTAAACAAATTCATTTTGTCTAAATGTAGATAAATAATAGATTATTAAAATGACTAAGAGAAGTAATCACTCATAAATTTAATTTACCTCCATTCTTGCTATAAATAGGATGGGAAATATATAAAGACACAGGAAATATATAAAGAAATACACATTGATAATTATTATATGGCTTGATGGCTTCCATATGGTATTGGAATATCCATTGTTTCCTTAAGATGTCTGATTCTCCACTGTTCTTTTTTTAGTTCATTTCACAGAGATAAAGAGTTAATTTCAAAATTCCCTGAAGGTCACTGTGGTAATAAAATAAGCACATCTCATTTCCCCTCTCACTCGTAGCCATCCACTATAATAAAATAAACATTTTCAGTGCTAAAGCTGAATTAGTTAAATAAAGCACTATAAGCTTCTAGTTGTTGCTATATAACAGTCACCCAGATCAACAAGCATCTGATGAAGGTTGGAGGGTACAATGGCTGAAACATTATGATAATAACAAAGATGAGGACAATAGTCTGAGTGTAAATAATGATAACTCCTCCCTAGAAATTCAGACAGAAATATTGAAACATTCTATTTACCAATATTCAAATATTTTCATACTTATAATTTCTAATTTTCTTTATCTTTTCAATAACACAGAAAGCATATTAAAAATAATAAACAAAATCAATGCTAAAAAAACAGCAAAAAAAGACAAGATACAAGAAAGATGATGGTGACACCAAACTGTTATAAACTAAATACTTACAATAGTTGGTTCATATTCTAAGCATATAGCACCTTGTACTTTGGTTGGGTCCTGTTTCTTGGTAGGATCTAGAAACAATTTTTCTGTAGGTTCTGACAGTTTTCTGTTGTCCCACCAAAGTACTTTGCCATCAGAAGATGTAGAAAAAAACTCATTACCAGTTTTCGACTGGACCCAGATGGCTTTGTGTACAGGATCTCTATGGCTCTGTGCCACTGGTGACATCTCTACTGGGCTTGTTCCCTTTCTTGTGTCCCAGTAACCTTTTAAAAAAATTAAAATATTTTTTGTATGTCGGAAGCAAAGAAATTGGAAATTATATAACTACTGTTTAATAGTAGTCATTCTCAGAGCACAGAAAAGCTGGAAGGTGCTAAATATCCCCATAATGATTCCAGTCACCCTTTAATAATGGTAATGATGATGGCAATATAAGGCATTTCTTTATAAGGAAACATTTGGCATTCATTGACCAGTGTATTGAGTTACACTTTACTTCACTCCTTGGCCATCAAACTGGGATCAAAGTATCTGTTCTCCTCACCACTAATGTTAATAGCAATATTAGCTGTTTCCTTATATAGAAACATTTGGCATTCATTGACAAGTGTATTGAGTTACACTTTACTTCATTCCCTGGTCATCAAACTTCAATCAAAGTGTGGTATCTGTTCTCCTCATCTCTGATGGTAATGGTAATATTAGCTGTTTCCTAATAAGGAAACATTCAGCATTCATTGACCAAGCAGATACTGCTACACAAGATATTTTTTATTTCACTGCCTGACCATCAGGCTGAGATTAAAATGTATCTGTTCTCCTCATCTCTAGTGTTGATGGTAATGGCAATATTAGCTGTTTCTTTATATGGAAATATTTGGCATTCACTTATGAATTATGAATTAGCTATGAGTTAATGTGAAAGCATACTGGGCTGTGTTGAAAAAAGCCTTAGTTGGTATCTAGTCTATGAGAAGGACAACACAGAATTTAAAAACTTGGAGAAATCAATGGGAAACCACTTCACTATCTTTCCAAAGAAGTCATATGTATTAAAAAAAAGAAGCCGTGGAAAGACATAACTACTTACATCCTGAAAGGGCATTGTATTTTAAAAAATAATTATGTAAGCAACAAGACAGGAAGTTATGGAGAGCAATGAACACCTATGTGTTGAAAGGATATAGCAAATAAAGAGATGTATAAGAACTCTCCTCATCCAGCTTTAGTCATTTTCTGAATGAACAAACTAAAACTTTCAAATAGTAAGTTGGAAAAAATTTTGATTTTTTTTTATCCAAATTTAGTTTTAGTTAGTGCCAGCAATCATTTTGTATATTACTAATATAAAAAAGAGAAAGTGGATTTATAGTGCACATTTATTTTATAAGCATCATGACATTTTTTTCAGTATTCAAATTGCTTAATTTTTACACAAGAATTAGTACTCAAGTTGCATTAATGGCTGATTAAATTTGTTATGCTTGAGCAAAAAGAAAGTCATTTCAATGTAAATAAAATAGTAGAATTGGTATAATTATTGGATACAATATAAAATAATGTACTTAAAACTGGTTTGGCATGGTGTTAGCAATTGCATCCTATAAAAAACTTACTTGCTATGAAAGCCACAGCAGTAATGCCTAGTGTGTTGAGGCTGTGGCCCCATAATCCACATTTGTAGTCTACAAGAGCTGAGAGAGAAAGAAACAAACTTCAAAGACACATTGTGCAATATTATGATGTTGTAAACTTTTACATCAGTGTTAGATATATATTTAAATGAGTTTGGAGCAGCAGGATTAAGTGACACTTCATTTTCTTCTTCTTCTTGAATTCTGCACACAGCTTCAGCAACTTTAAAGCCCACTTTAAAGTAATGCCCCAAAAGTTATATATGTCTTTATGACTCTGGTAATGTTAAAATTTAAATATTAAAGCATAGACTATAAATTGTTTCCATAAAAAAAAGAACCTTAGTACATCAGTCTGTGCATGAATACTTACTTGATTATAGTTTACAATACTAAACTTTAGAATAGTTTTGTTATTGATACAGTAAGATCCTATTTTTATACTTCAGATAATCACCATTAACCTATTTTTTATCTTCAGTAACAATCTTCTACAAAAAAGATTTTTTTAATGTAAAATGCAAGTGATGAGATGTTGTTCAATGTTTTATTCAGCTAATTTGTTAAACCCATTCTTCTGTTTTTTTTTAATCTTTCCCATGATTTGCAAATATTTTACAACTGTTGACTAATTAATACCATGTTTTTCAACCAATTCCAATGTTAATTCAGTGAGATTGTTATCCAAAAGTGCTTGTATGCCATTACTTCCAAATTTTTGTATTCTTCATCTTTTGTCCTCCAAGTCAAATTTGCATCTCTTAAACTTCACAAATTATTTATAGGAATTAAATTCTATATATATTTTTCAACCAATAAAATCCCATCAGAAGTTTTGTTTGATAAACAATCATTACTAGACAAATACCACCAAAATACTTGGTGGGCATAGTTGTAGACCAACCATGTGTTATTTTTAAACCATTTAGAAAACAACATTAATAACTCCTTTCACCACTCCCACAAATTCAAAAAAAAGATTATTGCAAGACAGTGTAAAATTATTTTCTAACTAATGAAAAAAAGTTCATATCTCTATGTGAAATTAGATTTTGAATCCTCTTACAGATATCAAAATAGAATCATACTGTTTCTTGACTTTCAAAACAATTTCAGAGACCAGTTTGATCTACACATGTGTACATACACATGCACCCACATGCATGCACACAATGGAAGGGATGACAGCCAGCAAACACTGACTAAGGCCTTGTCCAAACACACAATAGGAAGGATTAACCAGCAACTGCCAGCTAAGTCTTTTGTCTACAAATTCATAAACACATTAGGCTGACTGTCAGGAAGTAAGTCTGTCCAAACATTTCACACCATCCTTAGAACACTTAGTTACTTTATAAAATAAACAACATTGCAAGGAAAATTGAAAATTTTATTCTTATTATATATTTCTGAAAAGAATCTATAAATGTTATTTCAACTAACATTCTGCTTCTACTTTTCTTCCAGAAAATAACCTTTTTTTATATTTCATTTAAAAGATGTGTTGTTGTTGTTAAATGTTTTAGAATTCTGACACTCAGATAACAACAAAAACCTGAGTAGACAGATCCCAGTACATTCATAATTCATACCAGTTCCAGTGAAACCATCTCCATAAACTTCATCAGTCATCTTCTTCTTCACTCCTTTTACTGTCTTGGTCAACTTTAAAAAAAAGCAATATGTCTGACATAATTTTGTCTTTGTTTTTTTTTACTCAGCTCAAAATAAATGACTAATGAATACAGAAAACTCCCAAACAGTTTTCAACTGAGTATTCTATCTCCAACTATTAGAAAAGAGATTTCTGAGAACCTTTGAACATATTTAATGCCTTTTAATTGATTTTATTAATCTATTGATAGTCTATTATTATTCATAAGAGTAACTAAACCTAAGATCTTTTTTATGGCTTCTAAATTAAATAATATTATATTCACAGAAATAGTTTTAGTTTGAAAATTATATTACCATAATAGTTTATTGCAAGTCAAAAGAACATGGATGACACAGATCGCTTGGTGTATTTGTTCCCATTATTTTTAGAATAAAACTTACACTTGAATATAGTATCTCTCAAATAATACATGATAGCATAAAGTACAACTTTGATAGGCATCATTAACATCACAAGTTTTGTTCAGAGAATTAAACACCTTTTTGTATCATTGATATTTGGTGACCAAGACACAATATGAACTTGCAAACAATTACAAAATGTTAATTTCTTGCACAGCACAATGCCCATAACAGGATAAAGTTCACATGTTTTCCACATGAAACAAGATACATTGATACATTTCAAAAATGGCAATGGGACAAAAACATGGGAATTTTTTGTCAGTCACTTCTGGCATAAACCTATAAATTGGTGTTCATGACATGAAAAATAATGAAATATTAAATAATGACTTTCCCAATGTGTCAATTAACAAAATACAGTTTTAACATGTATTTCCTATCATGGTAAATGTCAGAATGGAATGGACAATATTATTGTCAGAGAAATATTCATCAACTCAAAAAAAAAGCAACTGCTCGATTTGACTCCTGGAAGTTGACTGACTGTAGGACTGACTGACTGCTAATTTTGTCACTTTGCAGTAACACCACTAAGTGCCCATCATAAGATGTCATTTTCACCAAAGGGAGATAATCACCTTTTGTATCACAACACTGCAATGTTTCAACTAATTTACTGTATAGTTTCTTTAGGAATATAATAGATATTTTTATACTAATGTTCAACCAGCACAAGTCTCAAGAGCCACTCAAGGTAGAGGGTTACTGTGTGGTATTGTATGAGCATAAGAAAAGTTCAGTTTATGAGGTTATATAGGAAAGATAACAGTTAACCCTAGACTTGAAGAAGTCAAGATTGTAGTGATTTGGAAAACATCCTACTGGGAGACTGTTCCAGAAAGCACCAGTTCTTGGGAAGAATCTGTCCAAGTGGAACTTACTTCTTACCAATGGAATACAAAGAGAATGAGGATGATTCTTCCTTGTGTACATAGAATAGTGGTCCCAGTTGCAAAGGTCAGCACAAAAGAATGAAGTTTAAATAAGCAGGAAAAAAATAAAAAAAGAAATCCTTCTATTTCTTATGGATTACACATCTTATGAAGTGCATAGAATGGATTGTCTGAAACATTGCAATAACAATATCAACAATACAAAGTAGTTCCCTTGTCTGAATTAAGCTTGGAAATATAACGGTTTTATGTATGGATTTACCGTTCCACAAAATATATCTTAGTTCAAAATGCACAAATTTATTATTCTACCACTTATTTTTTATTTGCTGTTTCTTTTAAGGATGTGGATGATCACAGTTCTCCACAATTTCCTATCTTTTGTAGCTCAAAGTAATTTTTGTCCCTTTATTATTCCTCCTAGTCCTTGTTCTGTCATCCATTTACATAAACTTGTTATGTAGGTTAACCAATGTTTCCCTCTTCCTTCTAGTTTTCACTATATCCTAATTTTAATAATAAATGTTGATAATAAAGGTGACAGTCATGCCCATAATCAGCAGAGTTCTTGAAATGGCTCTAAAGACACTCACAAAACTGAAAGAATTAGAAAACTTAAAATAAATTGAACTTTTCTGATGACATCAGTATTTTAACTGACAAAAATATTGTTGGAGTCTTGAGACTTGTTACTTTATCCAAAAACAATGCTATTAGAGGAAAGATCTTTAAATAATAATATTTCCTTTTATTTTTAACCAAAATATGATTAGTGAAAGATATTCATTTTCTTGCAAATGACATTACTTCATCTAGCTTACTTACCAACCTGTCCATTATAACAGCCTCCTAAAAGAATGTGTGAATCTTTGGGGTTGTATTCTACACAAACCAAGGAAGAAGGAGGATGAAGAGCCATTTCTGGTTTGTTTGTGTTTTCTGAAATAGACAGACAAGTACAGAATTAGCAATCTTTAAGATGTAATATCTTTAAGTTCATTAACTTTTCATGAGACAGAAAATGGTGTGAAATGCAGTGAAAATTAAAAGATTTTTTTCTCAATCAAATCCCAATGGGCCAGCTGGACAATCAATGAATAAAATATAACTGTGCGCAAAAATCAATAAATCATGGTTATTGCTTTGTCTGATAAGAAACTAAATAGTTTTATTTTCGGAAAGCAAATCGACAGAAACTTTTCCAACATTTTAAAAGGTAGCAAAGCTGAAAACAACCAAAAAGTCAGAAAGCAATTTTCTTGAGTTCTTAATTTTATTGACAAGTATGATCACTATCAAATAACAATCAGTTCAATTAAAGTAGAATTATTTAAATTCATAAAATTAAACTTAAACTATTCATATCAAGTTATTTACATTTACAGGGTAAATATTCATAAGCTATCAATTTAATTCAAATGAATTCACAAAATTAATTAAGCAAAACAATTCAAATTGACCAAATTAATTAAGCTAAAACTATTCAAACCAAGTAATTCACATTTACAAGAAACATATCCATATGCTTTCAATGTGATTCAAATGAAATGATAAAACAAAATACGAAGAACTGGTTTTAATTTTTAGATTTTTATTTATTTATTAGTTTATCCATATTGTCAAAACCTGCAGCATGTATGATATTGATATTTTAAATCCTTACTATTCACATGTGAGTCTTTAAATGTATTTTCTTAATTGTTATTGTTGTACTCTGATCTTTTATAAAGTCAGTCTTTTTATCTCTGAGCTTTGTTTGCATTATTGGTGGATACTAGAAGTTATTTTATGATAATATCCATTCCCACTTTAGGATGCAGAAGGCAATAGGTCACATGGGTCATGTGATGAACTGTTTAGTGACATCACTTCATACAATAGCGGCAGTCAATTTTCAGTTCTTTTTACCAGAAACAAACTGAAAGGCTGCTCTCTTTAGCCCAGGTCCCCTATAGCCCAGGTCCCCTATAGCCCAGTCAGAGGCTAAATATGCCTCCCCAGCAGCTTACAAGTCCATAGTGCTGTTTCCCCTTGAGAATATATCTTTCCCAGATATAGAAACTCCATATCATAGTCCTCAATTTGGGAAAACCCAAGACACACTGTTTCTCTGTTCATGAAATATGTCCTCACCAAGAACATAGGTGAATCCAACCTATTTGAATCTGGAGACCCAAACATGGCTTCTCCAGTTACAGGAGTATTTCCATATTATATGTAAGTCCCATCCTTTTTATTTGTCTTTACACTCTTTTCTGTGTATATGTATGTGATATATTATTCTCCATATGGGACATTTGTATGTAAATATATATGGTTTTGCTTATGTATAGTAGTATAAGTCTTTCTGAAAACAAAGCATGTTTGTCATTCCCTTTCCTTTCAACTATTCCATTCCATCCATCAACTATGGTGTTATTATTTCAAGGATATAATAATGCCCATAATAAGGGAAATGTAAATAGTAGAATAAATCTTTCTTCCAAGCACTCCCGTTACACCACTATATATCTATTATGGGTTTGTGTAAGAAAAGAAAATTCACAAAGCGTTAATAATTCCAAAGTAAATTTTTTATATAACACAATAGTGTGAAAGTTTAAGGTTCAAGAGTTCAAATGTAAATGTCCTGATGCATACAAGTGAGAGAGAGAGAGAGAGAGAGAGAGAGAGAGAGAGTGTCCAGGAGAATGTAAATATATATATGTATGTATATATTATTTATGTATATATGTATGTATTCAAATATAGCAGCAGCCTGCTCAAAATGTCATAGAAGGAGGTAGGTATTGAATGTATCTATGTGGGGTTGTGTGGGTCATACATATATCATATTGTTATATGTGGATATGTTACTATGACCACATCATCGAAGAAAAAATAAAATTAATTCATCAATTCTGATTTAGGTTAATTTTCCATCTTGTTATATATGTATCTAGAGATCCACCTCAAAAATACCACTTTGCTTCTCATTGGCTCATGATTAATTACTTTATATACTGGTTGGGAGCACCTCTTGTTTCTGACTCACCTGTGAGACTATGATGGTCATATCCTAGTCAGGATAATTTCTGATTGATTGATAGAAATATGACTTCATGGCCTAGCAATTCTGAATATACATTTTTAGAGATTTGAAAAACATGTGTCATATTAATTATTGACTTCTTTTAAAACAGAAGTCAATAATTTTAAAACTAATCAATAAAAAGTGATATGAGCTTCATAAGCCCATTATACTATACTAAGAGCAAGGGGATACGGTGGACAAGGCAAAGTCTCATATCCAAAGTACTCTGCTATGTCGTCCTGGCAACATGTGATGAAGCATTGTCCTGTAGCAGAATTGGACCTTGTTAATTTATCAATGCCAGTTGCATTTTGCTTAACTGAATGTGCATTTCATCCAGTTCCTGGCAAAAAGCTTTGGCAGTGATGCTCTGATTAAATTTCAGAACGTTATAATGAATAATGCCAATAGTGGACCAGCAGACAGATACCATAAGCTTCTGTTGGTGCAATTTTGCTTTTGCAAAGTGTTTGGGGTCCTTCATTATGATCAAGCCATTGAGATGATCATTTACAATTGCCATAAAGTACCCATTTCTAATCACAAGTCACTATTTGATCAAGAAATAGATCATTTGAATTTTACAGATGCAGCATTCTCTCCCTCTGTCACTCCACCTCTTGGCTAGCATTCCCTAATATATATATATATATATATATATATATATATATATATATATATATATATATATATAGCAAGCAACAATAGTCTGTTTCATGCTTCAACGTAATCTTCAGGACAGGAGATTGTGTTCAAACATGAACCAGATATTTACTGCTCAGTGTTGACCTGAGTGTCTACTTTCATATTTTATATTTACATATGCTCTATACTTGATATTAAGCATTTTTGCCCACAAATAAAGCATACCTCAAACTATAGTTTTATCATATATATATATATGTGTGTGTGTGTGTGTGTGTGTGTGTGTGTGTGTGTGTTAAAAATATATAGAAAATAGGAAAGGACATGAGAACTCTTATGTAGCATTGGAATCATATTTTTAAATAAATAATTATATATATATATATATATATATATATATATATATATATATATAATGGGATAATAATATATATATATTATTCCATTATTAATAATAATGTTGGTTTGGGGATCATAACTCAGTTTCATAGACAACATTAAGATATACAATCATCAGAAAACAAACATAGCCTGTTGCATTTTAAGTGTATTTATTACTATCTTGAAGAAGCCAACATTCTAAATATATATATAAAAAATTCAATATAGACTGATGTTATTAAAAAACACCTTAAAAACATAAAAAATCATTGGTCTCTACAAACTTTCAGGCATAACTGTCAGTTTCCCAGTTTCTCAATAAGTTACATTTCTTATAAGTATTTTAATATTAGCTAGCTGAGAACTGTGATGTCTCCTTCTTTGAAAATATCTGCAGAGCCACTCTCAGGGACAAGAGGCAGAGAAGGAAGTACTGCAACGCTATGCCATTGAGCCTAGGCTAGATTTTCAGCTGCAACTACTGCAACCGTGTATGTCTGTCCCACATTGGAATTATCAGTCCCAAACATGCCTGTAAGCAATGTGTACAGACTCCCTCGTGATCTTCATTTTGCAAGGCCAAACCATGATGATTTGAATATTAAGTTATATTTATTATTAGTATTTGAATATTAATCACACACACACACACACACACACATACATACATACATATATATATATATATATATATATATATATATATATATATATATATATATATATATATGGTTGCTTTATCTATCTCCCAGTCAGTGCTAGTCTTACACTCCCGCAGATGCCATGACAAGACAGGCTGTATCCATCTTGAAACATCCCAGATATATGTGCACAAGTCACAGTTACAGAATTTTGTTTGCTTTCCAACTTGGAAATCTTCTGTAGTTCCTGTTTTTAAGACTTCAAATGAACTGTCTGATCCTTTGAACAATCAATCATTTAGTCTTCTACTTCTTTTTAGCAAAGTACTAAAGGCTCTAATCAACTCTGAATTGGTTAAGAATCTCACCTCACAGATCTTCTATCAGATAAACAGTATGGCTTTCACTTCTCTAGGTTGACTGCCAGTGAAATGATTTAAAAAAGAAATATTTGCACATTGAGAGTGGTCTTATTTTGTACTAAGTTCAATGATAAACTTACCAACGTTCCAAATATATGACTGCATGGAGGCTCTAGGATTGGAACTCTCAAATTCAAGATTGCAGTAGGCCACAGCTAATCGGCTCGGCCCATCAGGGTACCAAGAAATGTGAGCTGCTGTACGCTTCACTTCATTTGGATCTCTGCAAGATAAACAAATGAACAATGTTTCTGTCAGTAATTTTATTGATCATAACTAACTCAAAAGGATTCTAATTGCAGTAACTTTCAGTATTTAATAATTATTATTAGTCACTAAAGTAGTAAGTGTGTCCTAATGAAAAGTATATTTGACAAAGTTTAACATAGATCCCCACAAAAAAATAGTGTGCTAAAAGAATGCTTTCATCTTAACACAGCTATTACTGTGTATTTGTTTGTTAATTTTTATTGCTTATAAAGGTTATTTTTAGAATTTTAATAAAGCCTGAACATATGAAGCCAGATTTATGCATTTTCTTTTTTCTTGAGAATTGAAAACAAAAGAATTAAATACTATTTATTTCAAGAAAAATTGTATATTTACAAAATATGTAAACCAACAACAATGTATATTTAACTTTTCAGTCAGTCAGTTAAGTGTCATACATGATATGCACTTGGGCAAACATGTCTTTCAATACATGACTGACAAGTCAGATTTTTTCCAGCAGTAGGTTCCCATTTTTTTCTGCAGTAGACTGGTTGCCAACCAAGGCTAAAGGACCCAGTCTGTCCTGCTATTCAACCCATAGCTGAGGGGAGAAGAGATGGATTCATACTTTTCCCAAGGGCATTGGTACATAAGTGAATATAACAAACTCAACTGTAATTCAAACTTGGCTTCCAAGTTCTCACTTTGAGCCAATATCCATTACACCACAATGTCCTTTAACATTTACCATATTATAAAGAAATAATTAAGAAGTTCTTAAAAGAGTCTGCTATAGAAGCACACTGGGGGAAAAAAGTGCTCAATTCCATATTAAGTCGGGGGGGAGGGGGCTTAATATATTTTTAAAATAAAATTTCCATTGAACAGTGACTGACCAGAGCTGCCAGTTTCATACGCTTTCATACAATCATCAGACAGTCGGACACAGTAGTGTGTGAATATGTGAACATTATAATCCTTAGGCAAATCCAAGAGTGTAAAAATGTAGCAGGTGCATGTATTATATGTCCACACCAACTAAACTCACAGTGGGTGGGGGGGTTAGATGAAAAAGCTGTAAATTCACAATTATTAAAAATAAAAATAAACACCAGCAATGGTTCACTAGTGTGACAAAAGAAAGCTCAATGCCATGGTAAGCAATAGGTCCATGGCAAAAGGAGCTTAATGCTAAAAGCAAAAACATGCTCAACAATACCAGACCCTCACAGTCCCACCTATGACCAAGCATATAATAAGAAAGACCAGTCAGCCATGCAACTTAACCTATAACTGGGGGGTGAGAAATATTTTCATACCTTTCTCAAAGGTGTTTGTGCAAAGGTGAATGCAACAAACTTAGCCAGAATTCAAACTTGACCTGCTGATTTCTCTTTGCAAGTTGCTAACTGTTACATGACCCACATATCATTTATGAATCTATGCAATTATCATACTACAACAAATCTATGTATCAACTTTTGATCAAAGTAAAAGGAAAATGAAAAAAAAAAAAAAGTTAATATCTTCTGACATGAGATATTCAGGACCAGTGTTTGCTCTAAGACAAAATTGTATTTTCTCACCATAAATCTATATAACATGACAATCCTAAGAGAAGCAGAAGTCTTACCAGGATTTATTATCAGCATTCATAATCTTAACAACATAAGATACACAGATGACAATGTGTTGATGCCAGACTCGGTAGGAAAACGGAAGAAACTCTTAGACAAGGTTTGCTAAGAGGAAAATGAAAATCAAAAAGAAAGAATTATCGACTGTACTAGCTAAGGTTGCTCCTGATGAGGGCTCTTGATTGGGCCTTCATCACAATAGGTAGGGAGGAGTAGGTGTAATAGACAACAATAAACTACAGAAGAACTCAAAATTGATCGCTGCATTTAAGTATGGAGTTAATATTTAAGCTTACCTTTTAAAAGTTCAATTATAATTCTTCTGCCACCACTTATTTTAAGGACAATTTTATATGCATAGGTCCTTACTTTCCGTACAAAGAATTATTTTTATTTCCTGGGTGAATTAATTTCAATTATCCCTAAATTTATTTCCAAGTTATAAAAATTGTTATTGCACAAAAAAATTGTCACAAAAAATCATGTAAAATATTGCCTAAAACCGTCACATTAACGAAAACTTGTTAATCCAAATATTCATGATTTCGGTTCTTATTCCATCATATTTTTTTTTTAATTTGCTTGGAGTTGGCCTGATTCCAAAATAGTATGATATGTTGGGCTACGGCCTCTAGGAGTAAAGTTAAAAAAGTGTGACACAGTGACACACTGATATTCACATTTATTATATTGAAGAAGATAGATGATATGATTGTCTTGCTGACAAGAGACAGTCCACAATGTGAGCTGCATATTGGAGATGTCACAATCAATCAGGTACAGAAATTTAACTATCTGAAAAGTGTAGAAACCATCAACAAAAAATGTAAAAGAGAAATTCAAAGTTGTGCATGCTATACTCTGCTTCAAATTAAGTCTCTTTTCTGATTAACTCTACATGTCGGCTGGGTGTGAACGCTAAGAAAGCAAAACCAAAAATAAAAAAGTCATCCTCGATGCAAGAACTTCGAGCATCACATCTTGCCCACAAAACAAATCCCCTCAAAAAATATAGAATGTAATATAGAAGAAGCCGATCACAAATGTTGCCACCAAAAAAAAAACATGAAATCAGTTTATGAGCCACCACATTTGCTTTTAAGAACACCGCTCATAAACGACTGACAGATTCACAACAAACAAGTAAGCTTTAACGAATCCACAACTGGCTTCTCTCAACACCACCACCATTACCTTGGTAAACTGACCCAACACACATATCAACTCCAGGTACTACCAACTGTATCCTTCCTCCATGCTACTTCTTTTGACCATAAATAAACATTCCAGTCACATCATCTGTATTGGCAATAAAAAGAATTCTTGCTTTCTTTTCCTTTTGCCTCACTGTGGTATTTCTTTCATTTGTTCTCTCATGCTACCATATGCATGTTTATAAAACATGCAAATTGCAAAAGATGCCTTCCAGAAACTAAACAAAATATTTAGGAAAATATCACAAGACGCAAAGAAAAGAGTGTTGAACTGTTATGTAATGTTTAATCTCCTATATGACAGCGAATACTAGACAACTTCCACACAGAGAAAGAAGAAACTTGAAGCAAAAAATGTTCTAGTGACAAACACTATAACTAACAAGGACAGAACATGAAAGCAATAAGGAAGCCTTAAGGAAAATAGGAACAACAAGAAAAGAGACAGATGAGATTATTGTAATCATGAACACCAAAATCCTCAAACATGCCAGCAACTTCAGCAAAGAAATATTACTACAAAGTGCAGTTACACTAGACTGGTTATGTTCCAAATACCCAAATGTTTAGTGAGCTGGTTTCCAGTTAACATAACAGAGGGGTGCCACAAAACAGATAAAATGATTTCCTAAAGAGGTACCAAGTCTCATGTGGTATTGATTACAATAAATGGATACTGGAAACTGCTTCAACTATTCTTAGTGCCACAAGATTTTCAAGGCAACAATCCACAGAGTCAAGGGAGAAGAGAGGAGAGGATATAGTGCCATAAACTTAACACTCTTTCCATCTGCTCTTGCATAGTGGAAAAACCTGTCTGCCTCATGTAGGTCGTGCTGAGCAATGGCAAACCTGCAACAATCATAGAACTCTTCCTAAATCCTTATTTATGAGGTTAAGCCAAAATGAATACACACACACACACATATATATATATATATATTTAGGCAGCAATCCTTCTTTCATGTCCATTTCATTGAATACAACAGACAAGGTACTTTGATTTAGTTCCTTATACAATTTCTCATGTTATCTAATAATTTTTTTCTGTTTCGGATGATAAATTAATAGGATCATCTACATGAAAAAAATGGCTAAAAATAATGGAAGCCTTATTAATAAATACATAAAAAACAACACTCAATAATATAAACTATGAACATGGACACAATATCTTGACCGTGTTTTGAAAATGAAAACATTATATAAATACATAAATACAACAAACTATTTCTTGTTAACAGTTAATATATTTCAACCATGAAAATGGATAAATGTATAACTAAAAGCACTTGGATAAAAAGAACAATTGGACAGTTTTTATATAATTTATCATCCAAAAAGAAAAATTATCAAATCACATGAGAAATTGTATAAAAACTAAATCAAAGCACTGTCGAGGTCAATGAAATAATATATATATATATATATATATATATATATATATATATATATATTTCAATGACAATGACAATGGTGACAACAACACTGATAACATCAATAATATTAACAAATTTGGATTTACATCAATTAAATGCCCACCACAACAAAATGACCTCATCGTTTTTGAAAATGACTCAACTAACATAATCAACAATTTGGAAATAAGGAAATCTAACAATAATTTTTAAAAAAAACTTAAAAAAGATCAAAAAATGATAAACAAATAAATTATTTATAAAATCAGATAAATCCAGGATAATATATCAAATAGAAACCAACAACTACAATAAACTAGTTGACAAAGAAGTCATTAAATTTTACAAAACCACCAATAACAAAACAGAAAGTGATATAAATAAAGATGCTACAAACATAGCTACTAAACTAAAATTAGACAATAGGATAAAGCAATTAGCAAAAGTAGAACCATTTATTAAATTAAAATACCATAAGGACAACTTCACAAAAAAATACTGTTTAATTAAAAAACAGAACTTCTACTCAAATATGAGTATCAATCAAAAATAATATATATATATATATATATATATATATATAATTAAAGTGTATAAAATGTGCTATATTTATGAGGGAAGTTATAGAGCATATGTAGATATGAATAACATAGAAATCAACACTGCACAGGGACTGGCAGTTTCGCATCATAAGCAATCTGTTCCCCCTCTTTGTTTAGCCTCAATATATTTAAGCCATTAGGAGCTTATGATAAAGTTGGGAAACAGGTTTTTGTCAGTTTTTTTGTGTGTTTTGGACAATTGTTTTTAGATTATGTATAGTCGTGAAAATTGAATTTGTTTATTCTGTTTATTTATATGTAGACTCTCTTCATATAGAGTGCCTACATAAAGATCACCACTTGGTTTGGTGATCTCTTAGGGTACAAAACTGCCTGTTATCATGCAGTATTGATTTCTATCTTCACACTGAAGGAAAGTGTGAGAGAGGGTGCAATGAATAAATTGTTATCTAAGTTACACAAAAATGAAATAACACTGACATCTCATTTTAACAGATATATTTACCAAAATTACACAAAATTATCTCAAAATGCTAAAGAGTAAATCTATTCATTAAAATTACCATTGACTTCAACCACAGCCTCCAGATGACTTTTGGAATCTCCTGCAACTTTTCTGGATGGTCTCCTTGTTTAAGTTGGTAAATGTGGCCATAATCCTTGCCTTCAGTTCATCTTTGGTGTTATAAGAAGTTTTTTGGGTCTCTCACTCAACTGCGCACCATACATAATAATCAAGGGGGTTGCAGTCTGGGGAGTTAGGTGGCCAGATTTAAGGGGTTATGCACAGAAATTGTCTGACAGCCATGACTGTTTTCTCCTGCTTTTGTGCCATGGTAAAGAGTCCTGTTGCTATACATAAGGTCTTCTAGCATCCACCTTCTTGACCCAGGGCAGCACTACCTCCTCAAGTCACTCCATATTGAGTCTGAGACCCTGTGAGAAAATGAATGGAGGCATAATGTCGCCATCACAAGTAATCACTCCAAACAACATGATGTTGTCTGGATATCTCATCCAACTCTTTCCGAATTTTCTGCACTTTCCAGCAGGAATGCCAAGCAATACAGCATGCTGTTTTTAAATTTCTGGTGGAGTCATGGTGCTCTTTTTCTCACAGATGGTGCCCAACTGACCTTACTATAATGTGCAGTTGGAAAAACCAAAAACAAACTACACACATTCACAAAATCAAAAATATAAAATGAGGGCTTTGGCAAAGGCCCATCCTTCTTTGAAACTTGTGAACTGGCACTACAGAATCACAAAGAACTGTAGCAAATAACAGAAACCACATCACTTGAAGAATTTTAACAGGAGCAAAAACTAAAAGCACATGTAACTTGAAGAGAAAATAATGACATAATCAAGATGCTGACATTCTACACTACTTCAAACAAAAGGTTAGAAAGGAAACTTCAATCAATACTGAAAAAGAGCAATAACAGCTACTGGACTTGAGAAACCTATTTTCCTGAAAAATTGTTTAAAAAGAAAGATTTTATAAATTTCAACCAACAGTAGTACTAACTGCTTGCTTAATGAATACCAAGTGTTTCCTCATAAAAAATCAGCTAATATTACAATTACCATTATATTTTGGGTATGCACATTTCAGTCAACATCCTTGTTTTTAAACTATGACATTTAATATCTACCAGCCTATAATTTCAAAGTTATATTAAACAAAATGTGTCTCTCAACAGGAACTGAACCTTTTATCCTAAGAAGTTATCTTCAACTTAGGTGTGCTTTACCACTAAGCTATGAGAAGCCATTATAGCAAGACAAGTCTCATTTACTCTCTTAAAACAATGCACATCTCTCATCGAGATATGCAGCTATATACAGACATTCATATATATATAGAGAGAGATTTAATTTACAAGGTTTCAAATTCAACACAGTTATTACCGAAAAAGATTGATGGTCTTGGCTGAAGGTATGTCATCTGTGTCTTGCATTTCAACATCATCAAAATATTCTTCATAAATGTCAATAGCATTGTTTTGTTTGATGCAATGCTCCATCACCTAAAGAAAAAGAAGTTTCATGATAAATATTACTTATCATAAAATAAATGATTATGAATGACAAACCTTTGCCCACCCTTATTTTGATCTTAGTCCTATTATCATACTTTACAATAATAAATATCAACAATATGTAGAGTTCTCTTTCTTCCTTTCTATTTTACTGTCCTCTTAAAAACAAGACAGAATCACAAAACTAATGAAACTAAATGGGCCCAATGCTTTTTTTTTTGCTTTGCATGTATATAGCCATTTGCAATGTGGAAAGTGTACATGTGAAAGTGCAATCCTTATAACACCATCAGTTAACTTCAATGTGTATGTACAGACTTGCTTGAAGAGGCAGACAGTTTGCTGCCAACATCCATAGAGAAAAGCTTGTAAGTGGCTATAACCTATGGTGGACTGTGCATTCCAAAATTTATGATGTTGGAGTGAGTGACTCTTCTTTCCTCAGCATTTTGAAGTCTCTCTCTCTCTCTCTCTCTCTCTCTCTCTCTCTCTCTCTCTCTCTCTCTCTCTCTCTCTCTCTCTCACTCACACACACACACACACACACACACAGAATTGACTCACTCACAGGAACATGGCCACAATGAAACTCACTGCAAAAAGTGTTGGATGGGAAGATATTCTCATTCAGCTTTTTAAATTCCTCTTTATTTTCAGTATTTACATTTTTTCACTACCTTCTGTGATCTTTCAGCCAACCTCATGACTCCATCCTCACACAAATTTTCCTATTTTTCAGCAAAATACTGCTCTGTGTATCTTTTGCAGCCTACCAAGGAATCAGAAACCTTTTTCATTATGTGAATTCTGTAACAACTGGTGTAAATGACAATCTGAAAGTACAACATCTGCTGAATACAGCAGACAAGTGAAAATTTCCCAATCAAACTTTAACATTTTTGGAACTGATCTCCAAAGAAATATGCAGTCCAGTGTTTTCTTGATGTATTATTATGTCCTTTCTTTTAACTGATTTTTTTTTACTATTGTTTATCCAATACACGGCTCAAGAGCCACTCAATCTAGAGGGTTACTAAATGAGGTATGTGATATGAATGTAAGAGTAAGAAGTAGGAAAAGAAGATTATGAAGATAGTCAACAAGTGACTCTTGACTTGAAGAAGTTAAAATTGTAGTGTTGGAGGAAGCATCTATGCAGGAGTCAATTCCACAAAACAGCAGTTCTTGGGAAAAAAGCTGGCTGAATGGAACTTTCTTTTTAAAAATGGAATATAGAGGGAATGAGGGTAGTTAGACTTCATAACAGGTCTTAACTATAAAGGTTTGAACTTGTGGAAATAATGAATAGCAGTACTTGTTTGAACCAGTCATTTGGCTCTGTGAAAAGAGGTTATAAGAGAAGACTCTATTTCACTCCTGCCAAATATACAGTGTCATTTCTTCTAAATGAAAAACAAGCTTTTGGTCAGTAATGATTCATTTTTCTTTTGAATCTCATATTATTATCAAGTATCAATATTTCATTACCTATCACAATTTGTTTAAAAATGGGACATTTAAATATTGTCCAGTAGTTTTTTCACTTAACTTATATGCTAGCTACACATCAAAGCAACTAACATAACCAAATGATTTTCAACATTTGATTTGTATATATAGATTATGTTGGCTGTATCCCACATAGTATAACATCAATTATTTTCAAATAATTGTTTTATTATTATCAACTTCAGCTGGTTCACCTGACAATGGAGTATCATTCCACAAGAAATCTCCCACCCAAAACTTTGCAAACCACTTTTAACATGTTCAGTCATTTGTAGTATCTTCTCCATCCACAGCAGAAATCTTTTCTGTGTTCAAGACACATTTTATTTTTCTTAAAATAAAAATAAACATAATAATTCAAAAATGTTGCTGATCTTCTTCCATCTTCTATGTTAGAATCAATCAACAAAAATAACCAATTTTGACAAATATCCATAAATGTCATGTTGACAGCTGTCACAGTAAAATGAAAAGCAATCTTTTTGAATAAATTTAATTAAAACTACATACTACTAATATTGTAAATATACAGCACAATACTTGCCCAAACTTTCCACCAAACAAGCAATGATTACTCTATGTTGCATTTTAATTCTCGATCTTGTCAGTGTGCACTGAAAGCTGAGAAAGGGCCTGCAGTTACTCACAAGGTAATAAGACAAAAGACAAACACCACATTGAAGAATAAGAACATGAAACCTATTTGGTAGGTAATACTTGGGGCAACTATAGTGGTTTAACAGCTCAGCTCTCCCCACTACCAACTATCCACCCATCTACTCATCCTGATGTGGTGGGTGGCTACACGAATGAACAGCACAGGAAACACACAACATACAAGTCTATCTCCCACCAAGGGCAGACCCGAACTCTCTCTGATCCTAAGAATGACTGTTAATAAAAACCAGCACCCAGATATACCCTATTTCGGTTTTTGTTGCTACTTGATCTCCAAAAATCCCCATCCACTCCTTTACTTCCCATTCCCCTTCAGTCAAAATGAATGCCACTTAGAAGACTGAATTTTAAAAGGAACCATCTGCTGGTCCATCAAACAGAAACACTTAAGATTGAGATAAAACCACCTCTGCCCTTTTTATGCAGATGCCCATAGTATCGCAATTCCATCAAATGACAAAACAACAAATATTTTAAGTTGGCTATTACCACAGCAATATAACATTGTATAAGCAGGACTTAACATGATTCTACATTAGACAAAAATTCACTTACAGTAATGGTTCCTAAAAATTTCTAGCTGCTGCCTTCTTGGCTCCCAGGCCTCACCTCTACACCTATACACTCCTATGACAAGACTTCTTTAGGTATACTGCAAATTTGAAACAACAACACTGTAAATACACATATGCATTTCAACTTTTTTAAGATTCCGTTAAATAAGGTGTCACCAGACAAACAGTCATGGCTATATCACTACACCTACAAACCTAGAGCATTGGCTCCTGCAAACATTAGCTGTCTGATTTGGCTGACATGTGGCATGTCTTATCCAAATAATATCAGCAAGATACAGACAAATGCTTGAACTTTTAACTTATAACCAAATAAAATAAAAGCATATACTCATGTATAATTTCTGCTAATTTTATTTTCAGTATAGCATACGTGTTCCTTAAGTATATGTGACTTAGATTTTATTGTTTAAATTTCGTTAATTTTTCTGCTTCTGTCTACCAACAAATTTTTTTCTAACTGATGTGGTGGAGAAGTTCGTCAGCTATGGTTGAAAACAAGTTTTATTGTTTGTCAAGAATGATTGAAGGTAAGTTCTTTGTAAGTTTCTTGACAAAACAATAAAACTTGTTTTCGATCATACCTGATGAACAATAAACACTTATAAACATTTTTTTTTTAAATTTTATTGTAAAGTTCAATCTTTTTGACAAATTGCAGTATGTTATCTGGTTTAATGTTTTCAAATAGTTCTCCAAGATTGTTCGTTCTGTAATACTTGTTTAGGATTTCCAGGAAACTGCAACATTACAACAGTATGTGCCTGACCATCCATACTTGGGAAAAATTTTCCATTACCCATACCTCTGACCTGGGTATGACAATAAACTACATCCACGTCCTGGGTAAGACAATAAACTACGTCCAGCAACAAGGCCTCTGATCAGGAAGTTTTGAGGAGCGTGGAACCACCTCTTAATTGCTGGTGTTCCCAGGTCCTCCCTGACCCAGGGTGGTAGCACCTGTTAGGGTCCCAGCTATGGGCAAATAGTTAATACCCAAACTTGTGTAAAAATAGGTTTTAATACCAGAAATACTTTTTATTAAATAATTTTTACTTTTACTTTTTAATAATACTTTTTATTAAATAATTTTTATTACCAGCAATAATTTTTGAATGAAAAATTATTATCAGCAATACTTTAAAAAAATACCAGCAATACAAACAGCTATATATTCTTTGGAAAAAATATGACCAGCTATAGATTTCTTCAAGGAAAAATATTCCCAGAAATAGATTTTAGAAGAAAAACATTACCAGCAATAAAAATTTTGTCGGCATTAAATAACCCATTGAGGTTGATATGCTGTAAAACAAAACAAACCAAACCAAACCAATCACCCATACCTAACAAACTATATAATTTTCTTTCAACCATATCTGAAGAACTATAAAACTTACTCTCATCCATACTTGACCAACTATAAAATATGTTTACAACACAAACAATTTGGCTCTAAATGACCCACAAGAGTTTGAGGGGCCATTAACATAATCAATCAATCAATCAGTCGATCTAACTAAAGTCTTTTTCCTCATCACATCCCTGAATCTTTTTACTACTCACTTAGGGAATGAAATGGTTTATATATGGAGAAAAAATAGCAACACGGATAAGGACAAAAAAAAGAATATTTTCGAAATTTGTTTTTGAAACTTTAAAAGATGTTATTGCAGCCTCATTTACTCACAGTTCCCAAATTAATGATGGCACCAACATATCCTTCATCTTTCTCCACTTTCTTTCTGTATCTCATCACTTGTTCTACTTCTTGTGGGTTGATATCCTTTGGCCAGCCTCCCTCTTTGTGGTTGATGCCTCGATATTCATATTCATAACTCTCAGTGTTTGTCTTAAAAGAAAACATAATGTAATCTTATACATACAAAACCAAAAATAGAGATGTCATAAATTTGGATAAAGAGATGATAACTCAGCTATAAATCTTTTTTTTTTAAATCATAATCAAGGAATTATACACATGTCATAAATCTGGATAGGAAAATGATAATTCAGCTATAAATCTTTTTTATAAAATCATAATCAAGGAACCATACACATGTCATAAATCTAGATAGGGGGATGATAACTCAGCTATAATTTTTTTTAAAATCATAATCAAGGACTAATTTGTTAATAGTTAAAAAACAGTAAGAACTTCTGACACAAAATTCTTATTAATAATAATATTTTGCCTTAAAAACAGTAATTAAAGATATAATTTTGTACAATTTTGATTTTGTTTAGGTAATGTAATTACTTCTGCCACATGCCAACAAACTGTGCTGTACCTGACTAAAGAATAAAAAAATAAAAGAATTGTTTTGCTAGTTCTGCATCATCTCGAAATAACAAGAATCAATTTTAACATTATAAAGAAAATGGGTCAAGGAGGAATCAAATTGATTTTAACATTGAGTTGAATTAAAGTTACTAAAAAAGAAATGAACAAAGATCAAAACACAAAAACAATGGGAAAGAAACAATTAATGGTAATAACAAATTTAGCCATTTCCATATCAGAAACATTTAGCATTCACTGACCAAGCAGTTACCATTACTGTCAATTGAAATTTAAAAAAATATTTTCCTTAAAATAGTTTTTTAGTAAATTACACTTCTCAACTTCACTGTCTTTGCTCTTTCTAACATTAATGGTAGTTTCCTTTCAAATTTTTGGTAGCGCAGAAAATCAACACCTTAATTATATTATTTTCCTTTGTAGTTACATATGCTACCCATTTTAGTTGTTGCTGCTGTTGTAAGTTTGCAAGTTTTAATGGTTTTTACTATTTGAACCTGGTATAGGACCATCCAACTGGGAGGTGGGGCAGAGACTTTCAAATCCAATCATCAACATGTGAAGGATCTGTGACATGCTGTCAGGAGGGCCCGAATCACTCAGTAGCATCCACCACCCACACTTCTCTGTAACTCCTGCTCACGACTCTTCAGTAGTAGTCCAGACCTTCACAGCCATCTCCGTCACTACCACCAGAGGGGAGAAAAGGAATAAAGAGAGAGGATGACATATCCCAATGCTTGTATGTAAGTGGGTGCCACCAATGACTATTTATGATTTTGTAATGCCAGTTTAAGGTTTGATGAAGAATTATCTTCTTTAAAACCTAAAGGATTCACTTGCTGTAAGCCATTTTTAACCATTGTTCTGAGAAAATACAAAAATTAAAGAAAACCTCTCAAATATTTGGTCATAGCCCATCTCACCATGTCAAGATCTGATAATTGTTTTTAATAAAATAATTCTCATGCAAAAATGGTCATAATAATAAAACAGTAATAAATCCTGAGTTTAAACTTGTGATGTAAAATTAGTGAAAAGTAAAATGCAACTTCCACTAACAAGCAAATTACAATAGATTGACAAAGTATAGAAAAATCTACACATGCAAACAGCGTTAGAGAGATGGTGACTAACCGAAAATTGTTTAAATTTAATCTTCTTTTTAAAAAGTATATTTTAATTTCAGTACCAATAATTAGAAATATGAATATGTAAATCAGTATCTCTCTACCTTTTTAAGCAACAACACACCTAGGAGCAAATGAAAATACCACAACACACTTAGAAACATTTTTAAGTGTTATGAAATAAAACCATAGATTTTTTTAAAATACACACAAATATGAATTGACTTTGTTTCTATTCAACTATTTGTGCAGCTTATTTAGCATGAAACCTGTGCCTGGTATTTTTTGCGATTTTTTCAATGTTTGGTCAAATGTGGGATAATTTCTTCTTCAGTTAAGCATAGTCTTTCTTATTTCTTATTTCTGATGTTATTTAGGGTTGAGAAGCTCAATTCACATGAATAAGAAATAGAAAATTACAATAAAACTAATAAATCCTTTTGTATTGAAATCCAAAATGTATCAATGGGTACTGTCTCAATCCCTAGACATGACAATATTAAGAGGATCATGACAGACTAGTGTGTCATGGAACAGTAGATGAAAATCATTGATCTAAACCAACCAATTTAAGCTTTGAAGACTAACAGCCATAGTAAGAGATAAAAAAGAACCAGGGAAGAAAAATAAAAAACAAGTTTCACATGACCACAATTACTATTGCTTTATTCTATTCTTTCTCTCTTTTTCATTCATCTTTGTGACCTTTCATTTTCAATTTTACACCTAACCTCATCTGCTATACTTAAGAATCTTAAAATATTTAATTGACTATTCATAGTTATTTTACTAATAATTATTTGAACATTGTCTCATAAGATATTTACTCATATTTAGTGTTTTATTTCTGAAAGACCACTAATTAAAGATATTATAAACATGTGTATGGTAGCCAAAAGTTTGGTGGAGTTTAGTGATGCTCAGGACAAACTCCTTGATTGTATGCCCCTAAGAGTCAAGTAGAGGGTGGGGCTTATAGGACCTAGTCCTGAGAAATGTGAGAAAGGAAGACATTTTAAATATGTAAAAACAGTTGAAACATGAAATAAGCACTTTATTTCAAATTTCAAAAACTGAATTTTTATTTCACTCTTTGATTGGATGCCCTCCTGATATGGATGCCCAGGCTTGTCACACTCTCTGCCCCCACTTCTGCATGCAATGGTAGCATGAGAACAAACAAAGGCAAGTATTGCCAGAGAGGCAAAAGGGAAAGAAGGCAAGAATTGTTAATATAAAATTATTTGTATTGCTGATACAGAAGATGTGAGCAGAATTTCTCTTTGTGGGCAAAGGAAGCAACTTGGGGGAAGAGTAGAGTTGGTAAGGTCTGGAGTTGATGCATGTGTCAGGTTGGTTGACTGAGGTCACAGTGGTGACGTTGAGGGAGGCCGATGGTGTGGTAGGTAAATCTTGCCCATTCACCACAAATCTGTGTCAGTGGTTTATTAACAGCATTCTTAAAAGCAAATGGGGTGGCACATAAATACATCTTTTTTCATGTCTTTTCATGATTGGCTTCTTTTATTATATCTTTTGAGATGTGTTTTGTGGGCCAGATGTGATGCTCAGAGCCTCTGCACAGAGGACAACTTTTTTATTTTTGGTTCTGCTTTCTTAGCGTTCACATCTGGCTGACATGTACAGTGAACCAGAAAGAGATCTATTTTGATGCAGAGTATAACAAAGATCTTATATATTTATGGATGTGCAGGTAGCGCAAATATTCACTTTTACACAAATACACTTGGAAAAGGTATAAATATATCATTTCTCCCCAAACCTACCCAGTTAGGAGTTAAATAGCAGAGCTGACTGGGTTCTCTAGCTTTAAGGTGACACCCAGTCTAAGAGAAGGAAAATTCTGAATTCAAAAGCAACCAAAAGAAAAGGGCTCTGTCAGGCCATCTTGCCTTAGACACACCACTGCTGCTATGGTTACAATACATGTGGTGCCCCTATGACCCTGATCGGTTACCAGACACATGACAATGTATTTATAGTTGTCACATGTTAAAATTTAAAATTAACTGATAAAAATTCAATTTGTATTAAAGCCTTTTTGAGATATCAAAGGAATATTTCCTAAGTTAGTGTTCCCAATTACGTTAGGTCCCAAACATTAAGAATAATAGACTTGTGGGAGGAAGGGGGAGCATGCTTTCATATATTTCCTTTCTACTATAACTTGTGTTAAAAAGACAGTTATTCCCTTGACACCACTATTATAGTATACATTTTGACTTCCTTGGCAATATTTATTGACAAAACTATAAAAATATGTAAACCAACTATTATGCAATATTTATCATTCATTTTTATGAAGATTTATTATTTAACACTTTATGAAGAAATAAATTTGAAAAGAAATCTTTTTATTCAAAATTTTATAAAAATATTACAAAATTATCAAAATATGTAAACCAACTACAATGCAATGTTTACTATTTTATAAATAACTATGAAAACATTCATTACAGTTGATTCCCATATTTTTATAATCTTGTCAATCTAAAATTATTCTTGTAAATAAGCAATCTGATAAATAAATAATGTTTAACATCTTTTTTATCATTTCTCAAAAATAAAGAAAATATATAAATCCACTTTCATAGGTTTGAGTTTTATTAAAATTCTAATGATCGCTTTCAAAAACAATAAACATTGCCGAGGAAGTCAAGAGTATTTTCTTGCTGACATGAAGGTTAAACATAACCTAATTTAGAATTTTAATTTTTCTTATTTTTTCTTTTCTATTTTCTTTTTGTTATTCTATTTTTATATGAGGAACTGAAGATTCTTTAAAAAAGAACTTAGAACAAATATGTAGAATTTAACAAGACAACCGCCAATACTTAATTCATTGAGTCAAAGAAAAGAATAAAGCTAATAAAGTACTTGAAACCTTCAAATAGAAAACCAATAAATATGTTTGTAAATATCACGACTACAGAATTTATTTGGAATGAAAAATTGTTATGCATTCAAGAGACAAGGCTGACTAGAGAACATGTTTGTAATGCAAAATGTACATACAGAGAATTTCACATGTTATTGAAATTATTATTAATGAAAATAACGAAATTAAACAAGAGTGTATAAAATTACAGTGAATCAAGAGTTCTTGAAAAAGAAGTTCTGTAATAAGTCTTTTGCAAGAGTTAACAGTTTGTAAGTCCAGTGTTCTTCAATTTTTTATGGTGCACATGGTGAGTGCAAAAGGTGATTGCAATTAAAAAAAGAAAATATCAAGAAATATGTCACCAAAAATGTTTACCTTGAATAGCAAGGGCCCTCATACTGAGATTCAACAGACAAAGTGAAAAAGAGAAAGAAATTAGGCTGCTTCTTATTATATACTAGCTTAAAAGGCACACTCTATGCAGACTTTTAAGCTAGCTCCTGTGAAGGGCTAATTGGGCCTCCAGCCCAAAATTAAAGGGACCTCTGGCCCAGCTTAAAAAACAGAAATGATAATTTTGAAGAAATAATTTTGAATTCCTCAACCTTCCATGAAATTCCAAAACCTCACTAATTCTGATTCAGGCTATAAGTCCAATTCTGGCCAAAAGACCAATTTGGGCCAAAAGTTTGATTTGGGCTGAAATTCCAATTCAGGCCCAAAACTGTATTCTTCAAATAACAAACTCCATGGAACTTCAATTGAATTGAGTCCTTCAAATTACAAACTCCATGGAACTTCAAAACCTCATGTCACAAAACCTCTCCTTGAAATAAAATTGATTTCCTCAACTCACAGTTTTGAGCATATTTTAAATTGAATTTAAAACAAAAAATTTTAAAATCACAAATGCTTTGTGTTACTTTAAACTCAATATAAATTAAAAACTTTTAAAATCACTAATTTTTTTCAGTTATTTTAAAATTTGAATTCTTAACTGTTTCCTCCTCATCTGGACACAAATCCCAATGATGAATGATTCAAGCACCAGATGAAGGGCAGGTTTTCAATCCCGGGATCATCCTGATTCCAAAGAGTTATAATATGTCTATGTAGAGCAAGTGTGGCCTTAGAGGGGTTTTAGACACACAGACAGACAGAGATAAAAGCACTAACATATTTGTAGACAGATGATATCACAGGCTCCAAATTTTAGTTTCCCAATAAAATGTGTTCCTTTAATGTTTTATTTTGGCTTGTATAAATTGATTACACTGTCTGTTTCTGTGCAAATTGGAGGAAAAATATACCTGCATTTATGCTCATTCTTTTCTGCCATATCCCTTCAGGACATTGGTGATCTTGGCTCTCTACAATTCCCTGTCCTTTGTAGCTCTTAATAATTTTTTTTTATTATCTCTCCTAATCCCTATCCTGCCATCAATTTACTCAAACTCAGTAGGCTGTTTACTCATGGAGTTTACTCCATCCTTCTTGCCTTCAATATGTCAGGGAGTATCAAATTTTCCAAGCCCTCTTTCCTCATTATGTGCCCTAGAAATTTCAGGTGGCTCTTCCTGATATTAAGTATAAGTTTCCTTTTTGTTTTCACTTTCTCTAAAACTTTGCCAATGCTCACATGTTTGGTCTGTAGTATTCTCAGCATCATTCTGTAGAACTGCATTTTTGTTACTTCAAGTCTCTCCTTCATCTGTGAGGAGATTGTCTAACATTCACTGCCATATACAGTGATTGATATTACATAACAGTTCAGTATACTTTTCTTTGTTTCTAATAACATTTTCCTGTTTCTTAATGCTCTGCTTCATTTTTGGAAAGCATCTTTCACTATTCAATGCACCTTCAGATATTATTGTCACACTTTTCATCATCTGTTTAAAAGCTGTAAAATTTTTATTGTCCAAAACATATTTGTATTTTTATTTTAATCATTTTAAATGTTAAAAAGTAGTAACAAAATGTTGACATCATTTTGCAAAACAATATGGTCAATCCAAGAGTTGTTCTATCAAACTCATTCTTGCTGTTGCTGCTGTTGTTACCACAATGTTTTGGCTGATCCAATCTACAGCCTTCTTCAAGTATACAATCTGTAAGGTAAGAGAGAGAGAGAGATCTCTTTTTCCAGAAAATGATAATGAAAAGAAAAGAACAGAACAATTTCTTAATTGTACAAAACCTAAATATAGTTTGAAGAAACAAAGGCATGTTATTAAAATTAACTGTCAAAAACAAATAGGTGGCATAATTCCTCTCATCCAGTTTTCCAATCAACTATCATCAAATTGAATCATTGATAAATTTTAAAATGTTAAACAATAAACAGAATTATCATTTTATAATATGCAAAATGGTTTAAAAGTAGATTTTAAAGGTGAGAAACAGTAGATTAACTTAGGTTATGCTGAGTAACTTCAAGGAGTAAAGGAAGTCCTTCTGCTTACACAGAGACAGTTGAATCTAGAAATAAAATGGTAGCAAAATATACTCAAGGATTCTGCTCATTCCAAGCAAAATGCATCACATATATAATTCAATTTTCAAAACCCCATGTAGCACATGCAATTTCATGTTTTATGCAATCTCCCATTCTTTCCACTGAGCAAAATCTCTATGGGAAACTTCACTCAGCAGCTGCTAGGTGGCATGGTAATAAATGGTATTAAACAAACGGACATAAACACTCTTTCTTTTTTTTCTCTCTCTCAGTCACAGGATGTGGTAGCTACAAGACATGTCCAGGATTCTCATCCAGGAAGACAGTAGCCAGGCACAAACATACACACACTGCAGCTACTCACATAAATGTTTTTCATTTCTATATTTTTTTCTGAGCTATATCTATTTGTATATATATGAATATCATTTTTTCTTTCTTTTCCAAATTATGCTGTTTGGTATATAAATATATATTTTAAAAAATCCTTTACATATTGAATTCATTTATTTTGAAATTGTTTCAGTGTTTTAAATGCATCCAATGCTATTGGTAACAAATCCACACCACACTGAAATTCACACTAGTTTAACTTATACACTTGTCTGCTTGGCAGGGAGTATGCCATTTGCTCTGATTTTCTCATTATCTACCAATGATCTTTATCATTTAGGCTTCATTTTAGAAAGGGTAATGTAACCCTTTTATCCATAGAGATGGTCCATTTTACTAGACCCTTACTTACCCTTTGGATATAATGTTTTTATATTCTTAAAAGTTGACTTTCAAACCTGACTTTATAGCTTTATTTTCTATAGTCTGAACAACTTTTGGATTGATAACGAATATTCCCAAAATTATTGAAGACAAAAATGCCTTTTGTTGTATTGATGGGAAAATGAAATAAAATCAATAAATACAATAATAATGAAGAATAGAAAAAAAAAAATGTTTCCATGATGCTAGTAATAAAGGAACTGGAAAGGGTTTTGGTAATCTGTGCAATTTTATGACACCAATTCTGAAAAGGACAGGACTGTTCTCTCTTTCCACTTTCTAACACATAGCATTTGCATGTGTTTTACAGAACCTTCATTGATGAAGTAAGTAAAACATTTACTTTGGTCATTCTAACTCAGTGTAAAGCTGACTTGATCTCAACCATTATAACCATCCTTAATATTACTTACTCTACCTTACGTCTGGACCAGTAAAAGAAAACGAACATACCTAAGAGACATTGAGAATTTTGTTCCCTTACAGTTTCTATTAAAAGAAAGAATAAGCAGTCCATTGTAGTAACCCAAGTTTTTGTCACTTCTTCTTTAACTGTTTATCTGTGAACACACACACCAACACACAACTTAAAATCCCATATATTTATTTCAAACTCAAATGCTAACTAAAATTAAAAAGATATCAACTGACCACATGTTCTGACATTTCTGGTACACACTGGATTCCTCGATGGACTGGATTCCGTTCCACAAACTCCTTAGCCAAATATGGGTCTGGCGGAATGTCCACATGGAGTTCAGCCAGACGATCAGTGAAGTTACATTGTCGGCCAAACTCACTTCTTTTCTTTGTGTATACATAAACAATCTCCATGTTGGCAGCAAATGTTGGAAGGCAAAGCTTGGAAAGAAGAATTTAAATATAAACATATTTTAACATGCCTCATACAGCAAATATGTCAAGTTTAAAATTTACAATTATGAAAAAATTGTTTCAATCCATAAAAGTAAACTGGAATAAAAATCTGAACTCACTTTAAAAAACGCAAACAAGATTAATCATTTGTTCATGCATTTATATCATATTTCATGCCAAAGAAGTTATGCTTTTTAAAAAAAAATAAAAAATAAACTCCTATAAAAATCATCAAGACTAGAACAACCATCTTTAACACTCAGGTCCCTTGCTATTCATTATATATATATATATATATATATATATATATATATATATATATATATATATAAATTTTAAATTTAAATACAGTGTCAATCATTATCTTCTGTCTCCTTAATTCTTGGTCTTTTATTGTCCTCACTCCTTAATAGTATTTTTTTCTCATATTTTCTAATACTCAGTAACCCTTTGTGTATTAGTGGCTTTCTTGCCTTGTTTTGGATGAAATATTTAAAATATATATATATATATCCAAATGATAACTTTATATGACAAAATATAAAGAAAGCTTTAAATAATACAAATAAAAGCATCTTAATACTAAAGCATCTAAGGAACCTTTCAGCCAACCCTTCTTCAGAGATATATCATTGGCAATTTTTTTTTTATTTTATTAATACTGTCAAGAATACTGAAAACATTTAGGGGAGTAATCGGATGCTGGTGCATGATTAAATGATAAAAATTGTCCTCTTTTCTGTTTTCTTTTTTTCATTTGTCTTTCCATTTCTGTTGCTTCTTCAGGTTAGTGACCAATGTTATTCATTCTTATTTATACAAATTAAATTGGTTTCTTAATTGTTAGAAGATGATTTTCATTTAAAATTTTTCACCAACAACATCTCTGAAGTAGGGTTGGACACTAGTTTCCTTAGATGTTTTTAATAGTATTAAGATGTTTTCATTAGTATTGTTTTAAGCCTTGTTAATATATATATATATATATATATATATATATATATATATATATATATATATATATATATATACCAACATCAAACCCACATGACTACAAAATCAAACTAACAGGAAAAATAGAACACTTTATAAAACACATAAAATGGAAAGTATTCTATTTCTTCAACAAAGACAATGACAATGGGACAACCACCACAACACCAATATCTATAATATTAACAAATTTGGATTTGCATCAATTAAATGCCCACTACAAAAAAATGACCTCACTGTTTTTGAAAATGACTCAACTAACATAATCAACAATTTGGAAATAAGGAAATCCAACAATAATTTTAAAAAAAAACTTAAAAAAGATCAAAAAATGATAAACAAATAAATTATTTATAAAATCAGATAAATCCAGGATAATATATCAAATGGAAACCAACAACTACAATAAACTAGTCGACAAAGAAGTCATTAAATTTTACAAAACCACCAATAACAAAACAGAAAGTGATATAAATAAAGATGCTACAAACATAGCTACTAAACTAAAATTAGACAATAGGATAAAGCAATTAGCAAAAGTAGAACCATTTATTAAATTAAGATACCATAAGGACAACTTCACAACCAAACCAATATGCAGATTACTAAACACCACAAAAAGCAATATTTGGAAAATAAGCAAACAAGTATTAGAAAAAAGTATGCTCTAAACTAAGAAGAATACTAAACACAAATCAATGAAAAATACTAAAACAACAATCAATTGGTTCAATAACATTAGTAACAAAGAAAACTGCTCCTTTACACAATGAGACATAAAAGATTTCTACGCATCTATTTATGAACATACACTAAACAACACATTAAACTTAACAAAGCAATACATCAGTATCTCCAATGAGGATATAAATATAATTAAACACTGTCAAAAATTAGTATTATACCACAATAAAAAAAAATATGGACAAAAAAAGGGCCAAAATAATAACAATAATTATAATAATAATAATAACTTTGATGTAACAATGGATCACTATGATGGTGCAAGTATACAAACTCAAGGGCATATACATAATCAATAAATTAACAAATATTATTAACAAAAACGATATAGGTCTATACAAGGATGACAGTCTATTCTAAGAAACTGGCAGAACTACAGAAAAAATAAAGCAAGAAATATAAAAACCTTCCAAACCCTTAGATTTACAATAGATATAAAATCAAATCAAAAAATAGTAAATTTCTTAGATATAGCATTCAACCTAAACAGAACCTACAAACCATACAGAAAACCAAACAACAACCCAATTACAAAAATTCTAACTACTCCCAATGCATTTAAACAAATACCCATATCTATAAATAAAAGATCAACAAATTCTAGCAGCCTAAAAATATTCAATGAAAATAAAAAAACATATGAATCAACCCTATGATACTGTGGATATTCAAACAAACTAGAATACAAAAACAAAAATAATTAAAAAACAACAGAAAAAGAAATATAATTTGCTTCACCCCCACCCAACAACAATACAATGAAAACAAAAATAGGGAAAATATTCTTCAAAATAATTGGCAAACTCTTCCCTAAAAACAATAAATTATCAACAAAAATGCAATCAAAATTAGTTACAGTTGCATGGATAACATGGAGAAAATAATAATTAAACACAATAAAAAAATATTCAACAAGACCAATAACAATTGCAACAACAATAACAATAGCATGCAGCAAAATAACACCATTAAATGTAAATGCAGAAATAAAGAAAATTGCCCTCTTGACAATCAATGTTTAACCAATAGCATAAAATGCAAAGCTATCATAAATAACAACATTAACACTGACAAAAAAAATTATGTAGGGGCCACAAAAGTTTTAAAGAAAGATATTATAACTACAAAATGTCATTCAAAAGAAAAAAATACACAAACAATACAACCCTATCAAAATAGATATGGAGCCAATAAGAAAACAATATCCCCACCAAAATCAAATGAGAAATTATAAAAGGAGCAACCCCATACAGTATTAACAGTAAAAATTGTAAGAGGAAAAATTAGCAACAATTAGTTTTAAAAACCAAAATAAACTCCAAAACAAGAAATCTAAAATGGATAAATAAATAAATATTTACTTTTCAATCTAAGCTCAAACTAAAAATAAACAAATAACTATAAATAAAATAAATATATAAACTTTAAATAAATAAGCAATAGAAATAAAAAATATAATACAAACTTTAAATAAATACATAAAAGAAACAAATATAATATAAACTTAATTTAATAAACAAATAAACAAACAAATATTAAGCATACACACCTGTACACATGTGTATATATGTACATATGGATATAAACACCAAAAAAATGAAGAAACCTAACTCCCCTCCATAATTAATACCTCTATATATATCACCAAGGCAAAAACAAATAAACTATTAACCATTAATTATTAATAAAAATAAAAATGAAACATTAAATAAATGATAACATATGATATAAGCATACACTTATTTTAATTTCATATACACTATTTGACAATTACAAATATGTTCATGTGTGCAATGTGCGTGCACTCCATGCATGAATGTGCATATATGTAAAAAAAGTAATATTTGAAAAATAAATAACTCCAACATTTAAGCACCAGTTTATTAATAACAGAGCACATATAAGTATTAATTTCAGTAGTATCATTAATGTCTATTATGTTAGATCATGAGCCATTCTATGCTTCTTATAGTCACTTTAGTTTAAGTTTAAACATAACAGGATGTCATCTTTGATAATGAATATCTCTGTTTTAATGTCCAATATAAGATAAAGTTTACTTGTGACACATTTTGTCCTACAAATACACATGTGCACGAATGAGTGGTGCTGGGAATTTTAGAATTTTTTTATCTAAATAAAAAAAATTCTCAAATTTTCACCACCCAATTTGTACAAGGTGTATTGGTAAGTTCGTAACCTGACTTGATAGCTGAATTTTTGTCTGATATTTTTAATGTGTAATGCTTGATCCGTGTGATTAATGGAAAAGCATAGGGTTAAATGTATAAGCAAAGAAGGAGACTATGTTGAAAAATGAATATTAGTTGTGCAAAATAAATGCTTTTTTCATCATTAGGCTACAGACATACTGATGTACCTATATATTTGTATGCAATGAATATCTTATTAATACAGAGATGAAATGAATTTTTAAAATATATATTTCCGTTTTACCTTAAACAATATTTTAGTGGGTGCATGTGTTTGAATAAATATTGCAGCTATTTTTAAACAGGGAAATTAAGATCTACTGGCCTAGATCATCGAAAGTCTTATTACAGAAAATGTATCTCTTTGCAGAGATCAAACATGCATTCCCTTTATCTGAGAAACCACCTTTTAATCAGGCATGCCTTTACCTTCTCAGCCACAGTGTTCCTTACAGCAAGGCAAGCTTCAATTGCTTTTTAAAAAAATGTACATCTCTTTTGATACTGTTCAGTGTCTGCTATAGATATTCATGTATAAGTCTACTACATGTATAGTGTGAGCCCTGAATTTTTTTGTGAAAAACATGATTTTTTTTCATTTTGCTTGTGTATAATGCAACCCCAGCTTTTGAGTAATACTATTGCAGTACTGGGCATCATCCTGGATATATTTTATAGCAAATGAATTGTCATCCTTCTTTTTTGTACATCAAAATTATGTGAAAACAATGAACTTTGACATACCAGTTAGTGAAACAGTGAACAAAGTGTGAGGAGAAAAACAGTGAACAAAATGGGGAGAAAAATAGTGAACAAGGTCAGGGGAGAAAAATAGTGAACAAGATCAGGGGAGAAAAACAGTGAACAAGGTCAGGGGAGAAAAATAGTGAACAAGGTCAGGGGAGAAAAATAGTGAACAAAGTAAGGGAAAAAACTGAACAAAGTGGAGGAAAAAAAGTGCTCATGAGAACAACTGGTTATGAAAAATCAAGATTTACTGTTGTGTTA